AGTCAATTGAAGCTAGACCACTGTAGAAAATCTGGAAGCACTCGACGGCCGTTTCGTCTTATGTGGGACTCCTGAATGGCAGTGCGCATCCACGATCCCGCCTCGCAAGATTCGAACCCAAGACCTATCAGTGTCGCGCGCGATCGCTTAACCACTCGATCACTGAGCTGGTATCCAACTGTGTCAATGTCTAATTTCAACTAATCAATGAAATTGAGCGATAAATTCACCATTTTGTTCAGTGATTTACTGTCTTACAACGAAACGTCGGTCCAGTGCTTCTAGGTTTTCAATAGTGGTCTAGCTTCAATTGACTCATGATCTCAATTACTAAAACTAGATAACTTGTTGAAATATCTAGATGTCCGAAAACAGGCAGGGCAGATATTCAACGAGGCCTTCAGAGAATAATATTTTCACTAAGTAACTGACTACTATATCATAAGAGAGAAATGTCTACAAATTCATCTATGCGAATTTATTCCTGCTTTCTTATGGTATGATATGGTAACTCGAATTGATGTACGTACGTACGAAGTTCTACGTTGTTACTGACTGACTAACTGACTATTTCAAATAATTTTCATTTCATGTAAAACTACTTATACTATCTAGTAAGTATTTAAAGTGAATTAAATTATCAGAAGGGGTTTTGTGAAGATTTTAGAAATTTCAATTGTTGAAATCATGAGTCAATTGAAGCTAGACCACTATCGAAAATCTGAAAGCACTGGACGGGCGTTTTGTCCTAGTATGGGACTCCTGAGTGACAGTGAGCATCCACGATCACACATCGAGAGATTCAAACCCAGGACCTATTAGTCTCGCGCGCGATCGCTTAACCATGCGACCACTGAGCTGGCCGGTATCCAACAATGTTAATGTCCAACTTCAACCAATCGACTAAATTGCGCCACCGTACACTATTGTCTTCAGCGAGTTGATATGTCACAACAGACCTGGTTGTACTCCAATGGTAACGGCTTTTCACTAGAACTCCAGGAAATCCCTCTTGAACTCAGTCACCAGTGAGTAGATGATTATTATGAGAATGGGACTCGCGGGCGAGACTGATAGTTCCTGGGTTCGAATTTCACGGGGAACGGACAGGATCGTAGATACGCACTGCTGAGGAGTCCCACAATAGGACGAAATGGTTCTTCAATGGACTCATGTTTTCAACTATTAAATGTTTTTCAACTTTCATTGGATAATCAGTTCGTATGTTTGTTTTATTTTTCTTGTATAGGAAACAAATCCTCATCAATCACAACATTACAATAATGATACATCATTAACAACAACAACAACAACAAATGAATTAGCTGAAAAACTTCAACGTCGTTTAGATAAAGTTACTAAAGCAACGATTGAATAATTTCAGCATTGAATTCTGTATTCATGACGTAACCAAGGTTTCTTCTTATGATTATTATTAATAAGGTATTACATAATTCTTAATGGTGTTCACTAATTATTCTTTATTTATATGATTGATCTTTATTTTCTGGCTACTGAATACGCTTCAGTTTTTCTTGTTTAAATAATAGTTTTAACTTATTCTGTTTCTATGGTGCCTTTTATTTAGAATTCAGGTAACTGTGTATTATTATTATTATTATTATAATAGTAGGGTATAACAACTATTATGAAGTGTATACCTGTAAGAACTATTATTATGGTATGTGCTACTGATGTTGACAGATATAAGTAGTATGTGTATGGTCAATCGAAAATAAAAATGCTTGACGTCAGTAAGTTGAGATCATCGAAGAGAAGAACAACAACAACAAATGATTGATATAGAAACGAAGGAATCATCAAATCTAAGCCAATGAATGAATATCTTTACTGTATGATCCAATAAGATTTCAATAAGACATTCTATTATTTTGTGTATTCTTATTCAATACACTAATCATGCTTTATGAACCCTATTCATAATCGAATCAACATCATTGATGATGTTTGTTTTTTTTTTTGTTTTTCTATTCTCTTTGATATTTCAATGCTATTGAATATTGATCAATTGTTTGTTTGATCGATTCATTGATTTGAACATAATTGATTATGGATCTATTTTATTGCATCTTGAATAAATCTTACCTGAATACTATTGACAATCATATTAAATCATTAACTTTATATTATTACTTTTAGAATAAATCGATAATGATAATCAATCATTAATAATTATTCAATTAATGACAATCATTTCAAGGATTAAAAAAAAAAGCTTTACTCTTTCCATTCTATGAATCTTCAAATGACGTACATTTTTTTTAATTAGTTGAGTTAATTTTATTAATGATTGTAATATTCTTCAAAGTTTATAATATATACTGGTTGTGAGGACCGTGAGATGATAACAGCCGATGGTTAAAGACCTTGAATGACATGGTTGAAAATCGTTTGCAATGATGCAGGTGCATACACTCTTTGTGGTCTTCCAAATTCTGATCTTCTGATTTCTCCTTGTCTCTTTTATGTCTTCCCAAGTTTATTTCACTGTATTATGCTCTTTGAATAACATATTCAAACCCTAATCTTTCCGATTACTGCTTATACCCTTACTACCTCTAGCACTAAGGGATTCGAATCGACAATTGTATCTGTGTGTTAATGTGGTATGACAACTCGAACTGATGTACGTAGGTACGAAGTTCTACGTTGTTATTGACTGACTATAATACAAACTAATTCAATGATAAGTTATGTGATATTGTACATTTACAATTGATTAATTACTGGGTAGAAGTGATCAATATCATACGTGTCAGGTCCTTCTTGGTGTACATTGAATCCTATCAACCAAGTTATAATGTGGCTATTAGTCTGTCTAGGTGATTCAATTATTGCATGCACTGTTGTTAAGATTAAGATAGTGGGTGAAGGTAGTCAATAGGAAATCATGGACCTAGGTTTTTCATTTAAACACATAAACATTGGTACAACAACGCAACAAATAGATATACGCCACATAAACCATTTGATTTGTGTGAGGGCTGGAATACTTCTCGAGTGCCCAAAATCGAAGCAGGTGGTTTTCTTAGGAAGCCACATCTAGGAGCCTTCGACCTAGAGGTCTGATCCACAAGGCAGTGGAACAAAGTCATGACATTCACTCCCATGGTAGCTGATGACCAACAATAGGTTCATACACCATTTGTTCCCTCAGGATCCTGAAACCAGCCCATGTGCATCATTGGTTTGGAATCAGGGTTTTTCAACTCCCCTAGGTAGACCCTCCATATCCACCGACCCGGTTCAAGCAACATACATTCGCTTTTCGTTCTCCCAATTACGTAAACAATAGTATTGCCACGAGAAGGCAGTGAGTAGGAATTGTATGGCAGTGGTTGTATGCATGTGGTCATGTGGAAACATTTCAAAAAGCAGAGCTAACTCTCCCCACTCTCAGCCGTACCACATCATTTGAGGGCAACTTTATCTATGACTATCATGTTGGGATGATCCAGAAAACTTCTCGCAAAAGACAAGAAAGCCTCAAAAAACACTGAGAAGCATTTTATCCAATCAGCGTTCACTTGAAGTTTAGCCAGAAATATTAAGAAAGGCAAAAGTCACATGTAGGGTTTCTGATTGGCTAACTACTACTATGTTGAGTAGCATTCCAGAAATTTCGGGGAACTCAAGGACATCTAAAATACTATAAAAACTCTAATATTTTCTTTACTAAAACGAATCATTGGAGTAAATTGCTTCTCGTTTATTTTGCGCCTTTTCTCCCGTGTTCAGCTCGTTGTGTCGTTCTAACTTGGGCGAGGGGGGGGGGTTTACGAGAATAGCTTAGGAACCGAATATAACGTTCAATTAACAAGACTTATCATTGATAACTTAAACTATTAAGCTGTAATTCAGTAATCTTTATTCATGACTAGATGAAAGGATAATCCAATTTCACCTATAATACCTATTTCACTCTTTGTATAATTGATTCTTCAGTAGTCATGTAAGCTTGTCAAAGTTATTTGTTTTCAATTTTTCACCATAAAATTATATTATTTGATAATCATGAAAAATTGAAGAGCCCCAAGAAGCTTTTCATTCTAGTTTAAGAATCTTCTACAGTGATCATACATGATTCTGAAAGGAATCAATACGAGATGACCATTAGGTCTCATAGATGAATGGATTGACTTGGAAAATTATTTGTTCCCATTAAAAAGATTCAGCTCACAATCCCGTGTGTAAGATAGATTTCAACAATATGTTTAAAAAGAAAAGGGATAATTTTGTTGTTTACTCATTTATAGAGTTAAAATGTAAGAATATCCTAAAGCAATTCGAATTGAAGTGTTAAGTTCTTGTAGTAAAATTCAGTATTTTACAATATAATACCACAATAAGCCTCCAAATGCCCTGGTACGGCCGAGAGTGGAGAGAGTCCGCTCACCCTCTCGAAATGCTCTCACAAGACCACATGTATATAGCCTCTACCAGGGACGTCCTACTCACTGCCTACGAAATTAACAGGACGAAAAGCGGATGTCCGGCGCTTTAACCGGATTCCAAACCAATGGTGCACATGGGCTCCAGTATCCTGCGGGAACAAATGGCGTATGAAGCAATCGTTGGTCACCGGCTACCATGGGACTGCATTTCCTTACGTTGCTCCACTGCCTTGCGGATCAAACTATTAGGTTGAAGGCTCCGGGTATGACCCTCTAAGAAAACCACGTGTTTCCAATTGGGCACCCGGGTAGTATCACAGCCCTCGCACATATCAAATGAGATTTGTGTAGCTCATATGTATTTGTTGGTGCCTCCCTGTACCAACATCTATGTGTTATAATAAATAAAACGAATTGTTACTTTTTAGGGTAAATAGATAAATGAGAATAAATGACTACTTTCTAATCATTAAATTTATAAATCAATCAGCCATTTCTCTCATATTCAGTTCGTTGTATCGTTCTAACTCGGGGCAGGGGGGGGAAGGTTTACGAGAATAGCTTAGGAACTAAATATAGCATTCGATTAGCAAGATTTATCATATAAGTAAACGTTCACACTGTTTCCTTGGCAACAAGTCTATCAACTCTATAATCATAATTGAATATATATACATAGTATAATCATTACTATATTATGTTATTATTTTACAAAATAATTATCCATAATACATACAATTTGGTAACAGAAAAAAAAAAACTATCCATCCACATCTATTATGTGAAAATAAATAGTGTACAATATTATGATTGATCATAATAATCAGAAGAAGAAGAGAAAGTAGGAGAAGGGATCAAAATAACTGACATAGAAATGCATTTGAATAAATACACATCAGTGATAATCATCTATCATCATAAATACATTTGATTCAAGTTACATAATACATTGTGTGTTTTGAAAAAAAAACAACAATAAAGGTATTCAGTAGAGCATTTTAAAAAAAGACTCCTATCATTTGTTGCTAGCACAGTCGAGAACAACACAATTTCCAGATTAAACAAGCTATTTCTGTTTGGTGTTAATATACTACTCATATATGTCGATAGATATCAGTAGTATGCACCATTATGTGTATACATATTACAACGATATGTGAATTATAATTGGAATGTTTATTTTTCTATTGAATTTATATGATAAGAATATAAACTGATAATACAAATGATCATTGAATAGAATTAAGTTGGATTAATGAACAATGTAACTCTATCTGTGTAGTTCTTCTCGAGTTCATACCGATTTCAAGTTTGGATAAAAAGAGGGAAGGTTAAGCATAAGGGTTAGCAACTCTATCCCGTAGAAAACTCATTTGCTCCACACAAATAAACAAAACGCTAATGGAACAATGACCCTATTACTGTATACACAAATATACTATTTATGGGATAAAGATGAAAGAGAGTGAGAGAGAGAGATGACCAAAAAACGAAATAGAGTTTCATGTAGTTGGTTAATTCAATGAATATGATTCATTGTGAATGAAGACGATGTTGTTGAAGATGATGATGAAGAGGATGAAGATTTCGGTCCAATTCTTAATTCTTTTTCATTAACAATAATCTGGAAATAAGTACAAAACATAACAACTGTACGATTGATCTTTTTCTATTTCAACACATAGATATTAGTACAAGGAGGCACCAAATACATATGCGCCACACAAATCTCATTTGATCTGTGTAAGGGCTGGGATACTTTTCAAGTATCCAAATCGAAGCAGGTGGTTTACTTACGAGGCCACACTCAGAGCCTTCGACCTGAAGGTCTGATCCACGAGGCAGTGGGACAACGTAAGGAGATGCAGTCCCATTTTTCCCTCAGCGTTCTGAAAACCATATGCACCATTGGTTTGGAATGAAAGTTTTCCAACTCCCCTAGGTGGACTCTCCATGTCTAGCAACCCGGTTAAAGCGCCGGACATTCGCTTTTCGTCCTTTCAATTTCGTAAACAATAGTATTGTCACGAGAAGGCAGTGAGTAGGATTTCCCTGGCAGAGGCTATATACACGTGGCCATGTGAGAGCATTTAGAGAAGGAGAGCGGATTCTCTCCACTCTCGGCCATACCAGGGCATTTCGGGGCCAAGATTGATATGCATTCTAGGTTGTAGAATAGAAGGAAACTCCTCTCTTTGAAAATGATTAAGAGTTCTATTACTAATCATAATAGATCTAGTAGTTTATTAAGTAGTATTCGATAATTCTTTGAAGTAATCTTTAAACATTTTCGATCAATCTACGTTTTCTTTTTGTTAATTGTTGAAACATTTCAAAATAATTCTTGAAAATTATGATGGGTACTTTGATTATACCTGATTGAACAGTTACAATTAGTGATTGTCTATGATCATACAGTCATGAATAATCTTATCAATCACCTTGTTCTCTTTAATACAACTTACTTACTTACTTACTTACGCCTGTTACTCCTCGTGAAGGAGCAAGGCCGCTCACCAGCATTCTCCATCCAACCCTGTCCTGGGCAATCCTTTCTAGCTCCGTCCAGTTGTAATTCATCCTTTTCATATCTGCTTTTATTTCCCAACGGAATGTGTTATTTGGCCTTCCTCTTTTTCGCTTCCCTTCAGGATTCCAAGTTAGGGCTTGCCTCGTGATGCAGTTTGACGATTTGCGTAATGTATGTCCTATCCATTTCCATCGTCTTTTCCTAATTTCTTCAGCTGGAAGTTGGTTTGTTCTCTCCCACAGAAGGCTATTGCTGATGGTATCCGGCCAATGGATGTTGAATATCTTGCGTAGACAGCTATTTATAAATGCTTGTACTTTCTTGATTGTGGTTGTTGTAGTTCTCCAAGTTTCAGCTCCATACAGTAGAATTGCCTTGACGTTCGTATTGAAGATTCTCACTTTGATATTGGTTGAAAGTTGTTTTGAGTTCCATATGTTCTTCAATTGTAGGAATGCGGCCCTTGCTTTGCCAATCCTCACCTTTACGTCTGCATCTGAACCTCCTTGTCTATCGACGATGTTTCCCAGATATGTGAAGGATTCTACATCTTCCAGAGTTTCGCCATCAAGGGTGATTGGATTGCTGTTCTCCGCTTTGAATTTGAGGACCTTGGTTTTCCCTTTGTGTATGCTGAGGCCTACTGATGCAGAGACTGCTGCTACACTGGCTGTCTTTATTTGCATCTGTTCGTGTGTACGCGATGGGAGGGCTAGGTCATCTGCGAAGTCCAAATCGTCTAATTGGTTCTGAGCTGTCCATTGTATTCCGTGTTTTCCTTCAGATGTTGAGGTCTTCATAATCCAGTCGACCACCAGAAGAAAGAGGAAGGGAGAGAGTAAACAGCCTTGTCTGACTCCGGTCCTTACTTGGAATGCATCTGTCAGCTGTCCTCCATGTACTACTTTGCACCGTAGTCCGTCGTATGAGTTCCGGATAATATTGACAATCTTCTCAGGAACTCCGTAGTGTCGGAGAAGTTTCCGTAATGTCTTCCTATCTACACTGTCGAATGCCTTTTCATAATCAATGAAGTTGATGTATAGTGATGAGTTCCACTCAACTGATTGTTCGACGAATTGATACTTCTTCAATACTTTGTGAAGGTTTCTGCCCCCAAATGCTTTGTTATGGCCGAGAGTGGGGAGAGTCCGCTCTCCCTCTTGAAATGCTCTCACACGGCCACGCGTATACAGCCTCTGACAGGGCAGTTCTACTCACTGCCTTCTCGTGGAAATACTATTGTTTATGAAAATGAAAGGACGAAAAGCGAATGTCCGGCGCTTTAACCAGATTACAAACTAATGGTGCACAAAGGCTCCAGTATCCTGAAGGAACGAATGGCGTATGAACCAATCGTTGGTCACCGGCTATCATGAGACTACATCTCCTTACGATGCTCCACTGCCTTGTGGATCAGACCTTCAGGTCAAAGGCTCGGAGTGTTGCCCCCTAAGAAGATCACCTGCCTCGGTCTGGGCACCCGGGCAGTATGAAAGCTCTCACACATATCAAATGAGATTTGTGTGGTGCATGTGTATTTGGTGCCTGCTTGTACCAATATTTATGTGTTAAAATAAATAAATGAATATAAAGGTTAAGTAAAGTAAAATTTACTGTCAACTACCTTTACCTACAATCGACTCTTAACAATGACAATGATATATTTATCAATTAAATAGATAAACTTACTTCTTCTTTTAATAAATTACTTAAATCAACTCGATAACGATCTAATGCATCACGCATAGCACGATATTTTGCTTCATGTACACTTGACATTAGATTGTAATAATATGTAAGCAGTACCAGACAAGTTGATAAGAAATCACTATACATAAAGAGAAAGAAGAAGAAGAGCAATAGACAGTGTTATGAGAATATACCATCAGTGATAAAACTATACATCATTAATCAGTCAATCAATCAGTCCATAAGCAATGCAGAACATAACATATAAGTAAATCAGTAGTACAACAAGTTATCATACCCTAAAAGTAAAGTGAGACGAAATAATCAGGATAACATATTGATGATTAAAAAGTATCAATTCATTTTCAAAGTTAATATTTAAGAGAAGACCCGATCGTTATTACTACCTTGACGTGGTGGTCACGCTTGCCTATCATGATGAAGCAACCGAGCTATACTATCTGCAACAACCGTCCCTCAAGGTCCTACCATGTTAGACAGGTCGGTTGAAGAGCAGTAAGACTAAGAGCAACAAACTTAAGGTCCGAAGGCGAAGTCGTACTGCTGACTGTACAGAGATGTGACAGCAGTAAGGTGTTTCATTCAGACAACCAGCATGACAGCAATTCTGCCTTCCTACAAGGAAGGTTGATGTTAGAAAAGGTCGACTCTAAAAATGCACACCTCGCCCTATCCCACAGATATCCATCTCCGGTGGTAAGGTCTCAACAAGTACGGACTAACACGAAAATTACTCATAAAAAGGTCATGTGTGGCCGACCGCAAACAATTATCCTTTGGGCACTGCGGTCAGGTCTCTAAGACCACCTGTAATCCAATTTCCTTTTCAGATACCAATAAAAAAGCCCATCCATGGTGTGGGGAACTGGGAAGTGATAACCTTTCTGTTGGGATATTCAGGAAAATATCCCAAAAATTATTTTCTTACTGGTCAATATTTATTTCACGTGTCATTTTCCTACTGGTCAATATTGTACAATGTTATTTTCTATTTTATGGTACGATGTGGTATGCTTGATTAGTATATAAGCAGAGTGTGTTTGAAATATAACGATTCATAACTCAGAGGCTGAGACTTGTGTTCTGGACTCAATTGGCTGGGCTAGACAGGGAAGCGGGACCAATCAGAACCCTGGGCCGTTCTTACGTGTTTACGCGTCTTTAGTCCGATCGATAATTCGCTGTCTTCTAATCTGCAGCATCACAGTATAGCACTTTCTCATACCTCTAACAGCACTCAAGACCATTGTATTCATAATCTAAGAGAAGATAATGAATGAATGCATTTCTACTAATCATTAATTATGATAATTATGAGAATCCCAACAAATTGATGCAAGCCCATTTACATGATTTAGTTAAACAGACGGTGATTTCATGAAGAGTTGTCACAACTTAATATGACTATCCTATTTAGATTTCTCTCAAATCGCTTTTTAGAATTATAACAAGTATAGAAGGTATATTCTCACAGTGGACCTCCCATTACTAACTAATTATCAAAGAATAATATAGAAGTGTAGTATAAACATTAAGCCCCCAAATGCCCTAGCTTTGCCGAAAGTTAGGAAAATCACCTCTCACTCTCGAAATGTCCTCACATGGCTACACTTATACAGTCACTACCACAGAAGTCCTACTCACTGCCTAATAACCACTGGAGTGTTGTTTATCAAATTAAGAAGACGAAAAGCGAATGTCCGGCACTTTAACCGGGTCGGTGCACAAGGGCTCTAGGATCCTGATAGAATAAATGATGTATAAACCAATTATCGGTCACCGGTTATCACAGAACTGCATCTCCTGATGTTGTTCTACTGCCTTGGGGATCAAACCCTTAAGTCGAAGGCTCCGGGTGTGGCCTCCTAAGAAAACCACGTGCTTCGGTCTGGGCACCCGGGAAGTATCACAGCTCACACAAAAATCAAGTGACTTGTGTGGCGCATATGTATTCAATGCCTTTCTCTGTAGCAATATTTTTGTTTTCAAAGAAATAAATAAACAAACATTAATATTAAAGCAAACAAACTATCTGGGATCAAAAAAAAGTATATATTCGTTGTGGAGCTTGTTGGGTTTTATTGAAATCATGAACCCAAGAATTGTAGATCACCATTAAAAACCTGGAAACATTAAAATGTTGTTTCGTCCTAATGTGAGAAATCTTCAGCAGTGTGTATTCATAACCCCACTCACCGGAATCAGACCTAGAACGTTAAGTCTCTCGTCAATGCTGAGATGAGATCCAACGGCATTAATGTCTAACTTTAACCAATCCATAATGTTGTACAACCATTTTCCATTGTCTTCAATAGATAAACTATTTCACATTCAAGACGGTTGAGCTCCATTGGTTACAGATTCTCATTAGATCTTTACGAGTAATATTGTAGATATAAAACTTGAAGCCTAATCCCTTTAACCAACCAATCAACAACCCACCCACAAAAAAAAACCCAAATCATATTCACTTACAAAAATAACTCTTTCAATCGATTAACTTTACTGATAGGATAAAATGATTGATTTTCCACTTTTAAAAAGGCTTGAGCATAAGCCATTGGACCAGCATTCACTGTAGGTAATAATGCACCTTGTAATTGCATATCCATTAATAATGGTATTTTATAAGTAGATATTTTTGAATGATTTCCATTAATACTACTATTTATAGTATTAGTAGTAGTAGTAGTAGTAGTTGTTGTTGTTGTTGTTGATGTTATGACATTAGGAATGTTTGAAGAAGTATTTGTTATTACAGTAGGTGAATGTAAATTAAGCATATTGATGGAGATACGTTTATCTTCATTCAATGTTGGATTAGCTATTTAACAAAAATAATAATGAATAATTAGAAAAGTTGATGATTAACCTACTTACAGAAATATTGATACAGACATACCGTGTGAATAGTCATGAAAGTCAACTAAAACCGAGACCTATACATTCCATCAAGATCATAATGAAACAGTAAATTATCAATATTGAAGTTGTGGAGTTGATTAATTTTTTGATTGAGATCATGAATCGATTGATTTTAGATCATCATTGAAAACCTGGAAGCACTGGACGGTTGTTTCATCTTATTGTGGGACTTGTCAGTGGCAGTGCGCATCCACGATCCTGCTCACAGGATTCGAACCCAGTGCTTTTAGTCTCGCGGGAGAATTCTAAACCTACTAGACCACTGATCTGGCTGGCATTCAACGATGTTTATGTCTAACCTCAACCAATCCACGAAATTGAGCGACCATTTTTCATTGTATTAAGGTAGATAGATGCGCACTCCTGAGAAGCACCACAATAGAACGAAACGGTCATCCAGTGCTTCCAGGTTTTTTTTCAATAGTGGTTTAACATCAATCGGTTCAAGATCCCAATCAGAAACAGTAAATCACTGATGAAAACAATAACTGAAGAAGATACACTATTATGAATTGATGGAAGTATTGATTGATGAAACTCTTATTCAGTGATTTGATTGTATCGGGGTTGTAAAGAAACCTGAAGAAAGAGAATTCGATTGCATATGCGCTAGAAAGTGAGTACAGAAAATAATTATTTGACCTAAGATAATACACGAGTTCCGTGTACCTCTAATTTTAGTTCGTGAAGAAAACTTCCTCTAAGTAAATAACTTCGATTAAATGTGATTGTTTAGATGTTCACCTTGGAAGAATACAATCTCATTGATTACAACCTTCATATTGACTCAAATCATGAAGCTTCAAGTATTATACTCAACTATTTAGTCCATTTATTGAATTTTATCATGTAGATTTGCATTAGCTGGACCAACATGATATTGAAAAAAACACGTCCCACAGTCGAAAAATAATAGATATATACAGCTATTCAGATATGAAGTTCTTAACTACCTTCAAAAATTCAACGAAAAGATTGAATGTAAGTAAAGACTGTTATCAGTCATCTAAAAATGTGAAGTACATGTGTGAGGACGATCCATCGAAGAACTCAAAGAACCTCAGAAAGAACTGAATACATTCCATCCAATCATCTTTTGGAAGAATATTCCAGAATCCCTATTGGACGAATGCTATTGCCTGAGAATCAACAAACCAGAGGAAAAGAGTCTCGGGAAATTTGTTTTGGAGAAACACAGACAAGTGTTCACGGAAGAATTGGAGGAATGCAAAAATGTTAAAGAAGAGGTGCTTGTAGCTGCCGTAGATATCGAGGCTGAGGTTCACACAGTATTGGCAGACACAGTTTCCGAATTCCCGGTCACATTTGAAGCCATTAAAGAAGCTAGTGAGAAGGATAATGCGTTGAAGATTTTTTGATAGTTGTCAATTCGTGCATTTGTAGTAAGCCCATTCAACTACTGTATTATTTATCTGCTCATTGTAATTTAGACACTTAATCCACTATGTAAATTTCTGTGTGAGTATGATTAATGGAATGATTTGTTAATTGTAGTGTTTCTATTAAGTCTAGACCCAGCAAATCTAGTCCTGGGTTCTCTGTGAGATATACCGTTGCATTCGTTTTTGCGTTTCCTTTTGAAACTGTACAACAAACCTCTCCAACAACATTTAGTTTCCTTCCAGATGCACTATGAGCTAACTGGGTTGTTGGGAGCACTTGTGGTTTTCCGATAAGCTTCCAGGTTCTTCGACTAATAAGTGTGATGTCGGCAGCAGTGTCGACCTGCAGGCGGGCACGCTTCTTATTTATATCTAAGTTTACATATTTTCGTTGGCGGTAAATTTGTGCTCGATTATGTGATACCAATATTTTGTTAGTTTGAGCACTATATCTGTATTTCTTGGAGTATGATTTTGAAGAATTTCATTTATGGGTTCGTTTTCTGTAGCTTGTTTCTTTATGGCCCTTCTGATGACATTTGCCACAACAATGTTCTTTAAATGGGCAGAACCTCTTGTAATGCCATCCTCCACATGACCAACATGGAGATGAGGGCTGATTGTCTGTGTGCGATAATTTTCTTGAGCAGGAATCTTTCTTTTCGCTTACAACATGAACGTATGGCAACAGACTATTATTTTCAATCATGGAAGTGTCATGTTTCATGTTTACCAATATCTGGCACTCCGTGGTTACTTCCTGTAGTGTTATATTCGGGCATTGTTCAATTTTACTCAAAAAGTCTGGTCCTAACATCAGCATCTTCGAGAAACTGGAGGCTGCACACAAACACGAGACACTTAATCTGATCTGTCATTGCTGATAGTTTGGACCGCTTACACCCATGGTTTACTAAACCCGCATGCTTCACACAGTCATCATTACCTGCTTTTGTTATCTTGAGATATTGATAACGAATATTATACATGGATGACTGTTTAGCAAAGATTTGCGACAAAATATCAATCGTTGCATCAATAGAAAAATCTCTTGGGTTCTTTGGAAGGATGAAGTTACTGTACCGTTCATGTTCAACCGTGCCAAGTTTTTGCAAGAGTATTCTGACCTTGGCGGGTCATCAAGTTTTCTGAGGTCAAACCTTGAACAAATCTTCGTATTTCTTGAACCGGGTTTCAAAAGTAATGCCAGCCAACTAATCAAAATTAAATTCACGGATAGAATCAATAATGTGGTCGGTATGAGATTTGAAAGAATCATCTGTAACCCCTTTTTGATTTAGGTTCATTTGCTGGGTTAGCGTCTCTATAATATGAATCTGGAACTGTTCGAAATATTTTTCTTGATGCTCCAGCAAGGCTTCAAAGTGTTCAAAGGTAAATGACATCTTGGTAAGCCAACCCGTCGCCAGTTGTTAGATCTAGAGCTTAGATTCTTAATTTGCCGCGCATATCTTGAACACTCGAACGCTAGAACCCTCCCAATTCGCAAATGAGAAGACAGAAAACTAACGAAAGGATTGTTATCTCAGACAGTGCCGATTATGGTACAAAAATGTCAGTTATTTATAGTTTTTAGTAAAAACGAAATCACAACTATAGTTATCCAATCCGCACACAGGGAGTTAGTAGCATTCTTCCAATAGGGAAGCTACACGTAGGGATTCTGGAATATTCTTCCAAAAGATGATTGGATGGAATATGTTCGGTTCTTTGAGTTCACCCCTCAACCGTCTTCACAATTGTAGGCCTAATGATTAATATTTCCAGCTCGTTTCTCTCCTTTATATACCACGACGATGATCTAGTGTCTCCAGTAATAATAGTCAAACTATCAACATGATTTCAAATTCTTTGAACACATTAATATGGATAATCATTCAGAACTAGCTTAATGAAAGTGTAAACTGATATTAATCAGAAATCACTTATAGGTCAACTGCATTTAATGGGTCTATTTTCTAAGAATAGAGTGGTATTTGTTCATTTCATTCGGCAGTTCAATACACTTTCTCAATTATTCTTATGTTCCCGTTCAAGTAGTCAGTTTGGGGGAGAGGAGAGTTAGTGCAAACGATACAACGTTTTATGGACTGTGTTGTTTCTTTGTTTGTTTTATCGAAAAGTAAATCAATCAATACTGTAGTAAATAGATTGTATACATGAACAAATATCAAATTACACATTATTTCAATTTTAATCTTTTTTTTATGATTTCAATGGTTGAGATTATGAGTCAGTTGAAGCTAGACCACTATGGAAAACTTGTAAGCACTGGATGGCTGTTTCGTCCTATTGTCGGACTCCTTAGTGGCAGTGGGCATCCACGACCTCGAACCCAGAGAGATTATTATAATTTGAAACAGGAAGAAAGAAATACTATTTGCATTGACAAAATTACAACAATGAAGATGAGAGAAAAAAAAGAATATATTCATCACAAAAACAAGCATCTAACAGAGAAAAGACCCCCCTTATCCACTCACTAGTAACTCATTTACTAAATACAGATTTATATTATCGAAATCATGAAAATATTCAAGTTAGACAACCGTTGAATACCTAGTATTTTGACTCCTCAGTAGTGTGTATCTATCAATTCGCAATGGGAAATCTGATCCACGACCTTCGGTTTCGATTGAATTCCAATATATACATGGTGTAAAACGTTCATGTGAAAGATCGATTTGTGATTTCAATAATATTAATCTGTACTTGATAAATGAGTTACTAGTGGGTGCTTTCTCTAGTAGCCTCTAGTTTGTGTTATGAATATACTCTTTTTTAACATATCCATTGATTAGATGAGCAACGCCGAGGAATCTCATCCTAGTACGACATGATCATTCAAAGTTTCCAGGTTTTTAATGGTTATCCAACTAAGATTAGTTTGTGATTTCAATGAAATTCGATTATCTCAACAACATGATGCTAAAAGATTTGTATGTTAGATGGTTGAACACAGTAAAAAAAACAATCCTGAACCTAGGTGCTGTTAAAATTTGATTAACACCATATAACTAGACAAACAACACTTGTAACTACTCAGTGATTGATCATTTGTACAGACTTATACATTCAACATTGAGTTACAAAGTTCAGTGTAATAACTGGAGTAATTGTAATCAAGCTATGAAAGGGGAGGGGAAATCTGACTGTTTTAACCACTAGGTGACCATCACCAACATCATTTTACAAAACTCCTATAACTTCAGATTGACATAACACTGACTATTATTCCATTTGACGGTAGTAATCTTCATTCAGTTGTAATAATAATAAACAATAACTTTACAAAGTTTTAAACATCAGAGTTCAAACAATCACATCAGATTCATCTTGAAAAAACCCTCAGGAGCGCGAATATAGAAGAGATAAAAGACGCAAGGGCAAAGCCGCACAATTATCGAGAGTGATGGATCGCAGGAGGAATACGGTAACCAAGTTTCAGGTGGATCCAAGAAAAACGTCTTACACAACAGACTTAAAAGGCGGGAGGTGTGAGAATGGTCCACGGGTGAATGCGAAGAACCTCAGAAAGAACCGAACATAGTCAATATGTTTGAAATAACAATATTCGATAGAGAGACAATGTTAATTATTTCAACTTAACTTCAACAACATTGTAATTATTGAGGTTAACACAGATGAAATATTCAAATGAAATGATCTTTTTGTTCATTAATCTTAGCTCTGTACTTTAATTCATGGAAGCCTCCAAAGGTGAGGAGAGTCAGCTCTCCTTCTCTCTCTCTCTCTCTCTCTCTCTCTCGAGACACTCTCTTATGAAATTGAGAGGACGAAAAGCCAATGTCCGGCGCTTTAACCGGGTTGGTGGATATTGAGAGTCCACCTAGGGCAGCTGGAAAACCCTGATTCTAAATCAATGGTGTACATGGGTTGACTCTAGTATTCTGAAGGAATAAATGGCGTATGAACCAATTATTAATCACTGACTACCATGGGACTGAATCGCCTGACGTTGCTCTACTGAGTTGAGGATCAAACCTTTAGGTCGAAGGCTCCTAGTATGGCCCCCATACGAAAACGACCTGCTTCGGTTTGGGCACCACAAGCAGTACGATAGCCCACACAAAAATCAAGTGACTTGTATGGCGCATATCTATCCATCGCCCCCCTTTGAACCAATATTTATGTATTCAAATAAATAAATAAAAATTCAAGGAAAATTATACAGTCAATCCCTTAGAATATAAACTTTCTAATCTGATATATAACTAACCTGAATAATGGCAAATGGTCAAATTATTACGTAGAGTTATTACATGGCTCATTAATTCCTGATTTTTACACTGTATAAACAAGAAATAATATAAAGCCGACTTTAATAATAATAATAATAAATGAATGGTTAAGAACAAAAACAAGTACTTCATTATGTGTCGATAGTTAATCACACGATGTCTTTCGGCGCTCTCTTCAACTATCACATGACACATCTTCGAAGGTTTTGGAAATAGATGTAATAAACAGTGACATATCGTCTAGTGGTGGATAATTAACCGATCGATATGGATTCCAATAAAAATATTAAAATAATAAAATATATCAGAAGGGTTTTGTAGATATTATAGTAATTTCAATGGTTGAGATCACGAATCAATTGAAGCTAGTCTACCATCGAAAACCTAAAAGCACTGAACGGCCGTTTCGTCCTATTGGGGGACTCCTCATTGGCAGTGCGCATCCACGATCCTACCTCGCGAGATTTGAACCCAGTACCTATCAGTCTCGCACACGAACGCTTAGCCAATATACCATTGAGCCGACTGGTATTCAACGGTGTTAAGGTGTAACTTCAACCAATCCACGAAATTGAGTAACACATCCACCATTGTCTTCAGTGAGTTACTATATAACTGCTTCTCACTAGAAGTATTGACCAATGAAGTTCAACCAGGTCTGTTGTGCTTCCAGGTTTACCATGGTGGATTAGCTTCAATTTACTCATAATCTTGACCATTCAAAATTAATAAACTATAGTTTATTGTTAAATGACTTCAGAAAGTATATGGAAATAACAATCATTCGATTATTTCTTTAATTTAATCCATTCAAACAACTCAATTATAAACTCACTTGGTATTTTTTGGCTTGTATCTTCCAATTGAGGCAAAATCGAGGCATACGCAGCAGTATGCACATATGCCAATAACACACTGATCAATTGCCGCGTCTTAAAAAAAACTCAATGGGAAGATACAAGCCAAACAATACCAAGTGAATTTAAATTCACCCCGTTGCACAAGCAAGTGGCTATCAGAACTCAGTAGCTAAGTGGATAACGCAATGGCGTTTGAAGCGAATGGTACTGGGTTCGAGTCCTAGAGTGAACATCAACAAGTCTGAGATGCAGGTACATCCAGCTGACGAGCCCCAAGTAGGACGAAACGAGCGTCCTGGATTTCACTGCTAGCCACTATCCATCATTGCTTACAAAAAAAAACTCAATTACAAACCTTTAACAATCTTTGAACCTCAAACTAGATCTGTCTAGATGAGTAAACTGTGTACAACTAAAATCATAAATCCTCAAGGCTTGTTAGTAGTGTTTTACGATCGTTGATGTACATTTCTCAAAACTGATGAAGATGACTAGGTTTTTAGTAAATGGATATTGTGAATATTATTAGAATTTTCATATTATTTTGATTTCGATCAAGTGGTCTGAAAGTTGAGAGCCTGTAAGATGCCTTAAAAGTCCTAAGTTTGACCCTCTGAGGGAACTACACATGTTAACTGTCAAAAGGAAAACCAGATGCTTCATTATCCTTGAATTTTAATGGTTTCTTAATGCAATTCAATAAACATGACGCAAAAATACAAACAATTAAGTTATCAGAACGAACTGATCTAAGTTTTGTTTAGTTATAACCTAATTCATCAAACACTGTCCCCAAATGCCCTGGTATGGCCGAGAGTGGGGAGAGTCCGCTCTCCCTCTCCAAATGCTCTCACATGACTACGTGTATACAGAAAACCCTGATTCCGAACCAATGGTGTACATGGTCTCCCGTGTCCTGAGGGAACAAATGGCGTATGAACCAATCGTTGGTCACCGACTACCATGGGACTGCATCTCCTTACGATGCTACACTGCCTTGTGGATCAGACCTTCAGGTCGAAGGCTCGGGGTGTTGTCCCCTAAGAAAACCACCTGCTTCGGTTTGGGCACCCGGGCAGTATCACAGCTCTCACACATATCGAATGAGATTTGTGTGGCGCATATGTATTTGGTGCCTCCTTGTACCAATATCTATGTGTTAAAATAAATAATAAATAAATAAAATCATCAAACACACACTGCAAAGTTCCCTGATGTCCAACTGCAACTCAATATTAGTACAATAGTAAATAAACAAGGTAAAAACACAAGAAATCCTCATGGTACAAATCTGGGCTCTTTGAAACTGATCATGCCGAGAAAGTGACATAATTATTATTCAATGTCATAGAATAATAGTCATAACCTGGATGAAGATGGAAATATACACCAATGACCTGGTCCTAAAGGTAGACCGTTGAAGAGTACTCTATAAGACAATGAACAGTTGTCTAGTGTTTCTTTATATTTCAGGATTCTCCAAATGAATTTAGTTAATAATAAAAATCATCTCTGAAAATTATTGACTAAGAATAAAAACATTTCACTTGTGAAAATAATTGAATCTTGAAAATACATCAGTATCAAAGATGTCTACAAGAAAAATAAAAAAACATTTTATGTTCTACTTTGACTGACTTGTATAGCATCTATCGCTGAATCGATTGGAGTGAAATCAATCTCTGTTACTTGTATAATTTCAAGTCGACGACGTATATGCGGGAATGTTGCTTCAGTAGTTAATATTGTACGACGTTTCCATTGAATAGTTAAATCATCACTTTGTTTTGGACCTGGTGCTAATAGGCATTCTTCCGTAGATAAACCTATTCAAAAATTAATTATATAAAGAAAAACAAACAATAAATCAGTACAGTAATCTCGATAAATATGGAGTTCATAAGGAGATATGCATAATGTTAGTTAATTGAAAATAGTCGATAAGAATTAATACTCCCTGTGGAATCTGAACCTACATAAATCTGAGACCTCAATATTGAGTTATTGAGGCCAAGACTGATCTGTCATAGGAATGCAATGATTATTCACTGATTACTGACCAATTTCATGTTTGTTTATTCTCTAAATCATAATCGGATTCTAGAAATCAAAGTACGAATTACTAAAGAGTCGAAATGAGAAAGTCAATTTCATCTCGTATAACTTTTGAGTACCAATGAATTCATAGTCTTTGAAGATTGACAGTCTTATATAACAAATCTTATTCAACATTATTAAGACAGACTATATCTATCACTCATAAAGAAAATATCAAAAGTCTGGATCTTAAATTCTATATCATTTATTTCAGAAAGTAATCATGAAAGGTTGTTGAATGTGAATTAGCAGCAGTTATATTGTTATTGAATGCACAACTAACCATGTTAGTGATATGGACTAGTTATCATTCAACCTGTGCACCATATTTTCTTATTAACTGGTAGATTCAGTCGTTAACATCATTATTATCTGAATAATTATGGCATATATAGCCGATTTTCCTTTCTCATGATACGGAACAAGTTGTTACTATGATCATCAGATATGAGCATGGAAACAATAGATGAAATATAATTCCTTAATTTTATTTATTTATTTGGATACATAAATATTGGTACAAGGACGCACCAAATACATATGCGCCACATAAATCATTCGATTTGTGTGAGGGGTAGGATACTGCTCGGGTGCCCAGATCGAAGCAGGTGGTTTTCTTAAGGGGCCACACCCCGAGCCTTTGACCTAAAAAGGTCTGATCCACAAGGCAGTGGAGCATCATGAGGAGATGCAGTCACATGGTAGCCGGTGACCAACGATTGGTTCATACACCATTTGTTCCCGCAGGATACTGGAGCCCATGTGCACCATTGATTTGGTTTGGGATCCGGTTAAAGCACCGGACATTCGCTTTTCGTCCTCTCATTTTCGTAGAGAACACCCCCGCCACGATAAGGCAGTGAGTAGGACTTCCCTGACAGAGGCTGTATACGCGTGGCCGTGTGAGAGCATTTCGAGAGGGAGTGCGGGTCCACCCCACTCTCGGACATATCAGGGCATTTGGGGGCAATTCCTTTACTAACTTTGTATATATTCATCGACTTAATCATATGACTGAACAACTAGAAATAAGTCAGATACAATAGTGCTGTAGATACATATTATTTTATGAGTCCATGCAGATAGAATTCAACGAGGTCAAACCTATCTATAAAGATAAATGAGTGTATAGACAGATACAGACAAGACACATAGATGAAAAAAATAGATAAAGAGTGATATGGGTAAACAGGGATAATCTTCTAAGTATACATTACAATCAACAGAGTTACAATGAAGCATACAAAGGTCAGAAAAAGGTCACATAATAGATTGTATCAGCCTGTCATAATAGTTTATAATATGATCGTCACTAATTTGATTATGTCTCTATAATTCAAGTGAATATGGATCAATACATTATTATTAGATTGGATACTCAATCGATATGGTATACACAGAGTGGAATCACTTCATTCCTCCTAATAAACGATTCACAACCATATCAGTCAGTCAGTAACAACGTAGAACTTCGTACGTACGCACATTAGTTTGAGTTGGCATATCACAGTTGTACACATATAGAATTGTCGATTCGAATCCCATGGTGGTAGAGGTGGTAAAAGTATAAGCAGCAATCGGAAAGATTAGGGTTTGAACGTGTTATTCAAGGAGTACAATCCAGCGAAATAGATTTAGAAAGAAAAAAAGAAAGGGACATAAAGAATTCAGAAGATTAGAATTTGGAGGAACACGTAGAGTAGATGCATCTGCTCATACCATTTCAAACGATTTTCAGCCATGTCATTCAAGGTCTCTAACCATCGGTTACTATCATCTCGCAGATCCCAACCAGGTAGTCTACACCGACATGACTCAGTCCACTTATCCGTAACTTCATGGATTTGTACCATGTTTTGGTCTGACCGCCCCTACCTTTCTTCCAACCTACTCCTACACCACAAAACATCGCACGCTGGGGCAGTCGGTGGTTGGATATACGTAACAGGTATCCCAGCCATCTCAACTGAAGTTTCATTACTTCATTAATTGATTTGACATCATAACCTAGTACCCGTTTCCTAACAACTGCATTACTTACTCGGTGGTCCCAGGATATACGAGCAATGTTTCGAAGACACCAAATATGGAAAAGTAAAGAATAGGTCAGAGAATAATTTGTTTAATACAAATATTATTATCAATCCATATACAAATTAAGTTCATAGTAGAACGGAATTAACATAGTAAATAGTTAATAAATCAAATATCTATCAGTTTATCTTCGTTCTATAGTCACATATCAGTTGTAGACAATTGTTAAGATTAAGATATCTTGGAGTTGTTTTAACAAATGAATCAGATACTGTTAGGAAAATGACGTGATGAGTTGTAACCGATTGATAATTATCACCACGTAAACCTCCTTCAAAGTCACTTCAAACAAACTATTATCAAAGTACAACATACAATTGTTCAGGAAAATAGGATATTTTTGCCATTGTAGGTTACGTATTGTATTGTCTATCTTATTGAATAGTATTATAAATAAGTAGTTATATCTGTTATGGACTGGCTAAGTAGGTCTTAACCTATATGATACTTTAGTGAAGCCCTTTAGATCAGACGATGTTGTCGACGAGCTCACCACTTTATTGGCCTGGGATCTGACTCCATTGAGATCGTTTCTGATTGCTATTGAAATATACATATTGTCATTCCTCGTATATAATTATCGATTTAGATCGCGTTAGTCAATAACGTAATTAAATAAGTCAAATATATGAATTAATTTTGTACATTCAATGGTCTGAACGGGAAATGGGAGGGATGAAGCGAATAGAAGAGACTAAAGTGAAATAATGCGCAGTGTAGAAGGCTCTTAAACCTACTCGATTTCATCAAGCGTTAATCAATATTTATAGCCATACAAAAATAAGCTACAGATATGTGATGAGTCAGTCAGTCAGTCAGCTACAACGTAGGACCAGGCACATATGTGCATCGGTCCATGTTGCCATACCGCATCAGCACACAAGATGAACACCGGATTCATAGCAGTGGTTAGGTCTAGGTGGTAATATATAAGAGAAAGATTGCATATAGAGATATAGTACAAGAAGAAAAAATTGGTTCGTAGAAAAAAAGGTATGAAGCGATTTTAATCTCTTAGTTTAAGGGAAGACAGGGAGTGTATACACCGACGCCATTGTGATCGATTGCGTAATGAATAGGATAAGAAGTGTATACACACACACGACCATATAAAAACAATCAGGATTAATAAGCAATTAATTAACAATACCAAAATGTGACTCAAGAAGGATGAATAAATTGGCCTATCTGGAAGCTAGAATAAACTATGTGAGCTTAACATAGTGTTAGGTCCCGATAAGCATAATGAATGGTAACATGAGGAATCTATATATGGACCAACAGTATGCGCATATTTTTATCGCATAATTGTTAAGTAACTAAACTATTCATATCCACAATTGATTGATCACTGGGTGGACATCAATGTCATGCGCGTCTAGTCCTTATTAGTATAGATCGAATGCTATCGATCATGTTGCTTGGATCCGGCTCGGATAGCTCGGTGGTAACGTCTCTGACTGTGAAGCTGGGTGAATCCGCCAGGGAGCACCAGTTCCCTCAAGAATACAGGTACACCTTGCTAACGAGTGCCAAGTAGCACGAAACTCGGGTCCAGGGCTTCCTGTTGACTACCTCTAACCACAATCTAAATATCCATATTCATATCCCTCTTATCATGAGCTTTATTTCGACCTATGAACTATCACTATATAATTTACCATTCTTGAATTATGCCCTGTCTATCGATTACTACCTCCCACATTCACAGCAACATTTGGCCAAATTTTGTACAAATGCTATTTTCTATTTTATGGTACGTTGTGGTCTGTCTCGTTGGTATATAAACCGAGTATGTTTGAAATAAATGATTCATATCACAGAGGCTGAAATTGGTGTTCTGAACTTAATAGGTAGGATGAGGCAGGAAGCAGGACTCTACGCTGCTCATATGGATTTACGCATCATTGATCCAATCAATCATTCACTGCTCTCTAATTGGCGGTATCGTTAAATTAAACATTAACAGGGCACACAGACCACATGTTATAATACATAGCAACCAACACTACATACAACATTTACAAAGTTTAATTTACAGAGTTGATAGACGCAGAACAAACAAACAAACCAATAAAACATAAACAATCAAAAAGATATGCAAATCTCTTACCTGGTTGTCTTAGAAATGGTGCTTCAAACATAAATTGTCGTACATCATGATGTTTTTCATAAGATCTTAATGGTTTTTTATCAGAATCTTTTATTTCTTTATATGGTTCAACATAAGTAATCTATAGATAAATAATATAGAAAAAGAAATAATCATATTGAAAGGTATGAAGAATTCATGTATAGGAAATGTGTTACTTTATAGGTTTCACAAAAATAGTTCTAAAGTTATTTTAATAGTTGAGATCATAAGTTAATTGAAGCTAGATCATCATGGAAAACCTGTAAGGATTGGACAACCGTTAGGTCCTATTATGAAACTCGCGGGGCGGGATCGTGGATGTGCACTTCTGAGGAGTCCTACAGTTGGATGAAACGTCCTTCCAGTGCTTCCAGGTTTTCAATGGTGGTCTATTGGTCTCACACTCGAACGCTTAGCCTCTAGACCTCTGAGCCAGCACCCGACGGTCTTAATGTCTAACTTCAGCTAGAGTTCTAAAGTTGTTCGGTATAGTATAAACAATAATTCCTCCTGTTCGTCATTTTGATTACATCAAGACTGAAAGATGGAGCACACAGGACAAATCGCTATTTTTTCTGGTAAAGCTGTTTCAGTGCAGCAATTTACACTGTGAACACTTTTTCCTGAATGGATAAGCTATAATCTAGTTAAGAGTAAATACAGTTAAATATTATGTAATACGTCAAAAAATATCTGTATTCAAAACAGTAGGTTAAACTTATTTTCTCTTTCTTAACTAACCTCATTAACTAAAGATATCGAGCAGATTTACAAAAGCCAGTCACACAGAAGCAAGGGAGAATCCAAGTTGCAAAACCACATCAGTACAAAGAGATGGAATAAGTAAGATAAACACCATAGTAATAGAACTGATGATAGGATTAGTGGTAGTAGAAAATATTAAACAGATGATGTGATTTGAGAATGTATTCATGGGATAGAGAAGTATAAGATAATTTTAGAACTCAATAGCCAGGCGAAGAAAAAATAGTGATTGCATTTCTGCTATTACAACAGATTCTCGGCCATTTCGCCCAACGTCAGCAATTGTTGGTCACGACAATCTCACGAACCAATATCAGATAGTTTGGACCCAACTCCATGGTTAAGTCAAACACGTGGTGAGTTCGTAGATTAGTGCGACGTTTTACCTTACCCGAACCTAGTTTTATTCGAACGTGTTCCTGCCCCCAAAACATCGGGCATCCAGGTAGGCGGTGGATATAACACTGACTGATAGCCTGCGGATCCATGAATAGATCATTCGTACTAGTTTGAGGCTCCTCAACAACAGTTAACCCCACATATTATCATTCTCATAGAGTTTAGGGCTTCGTGGCAAATATATGGTATCAGTATGATACCAGTGGTCTAGATATATAGTTTCTGTTAAAATTCAGATACAGTAGAGTGATTGTCAGTGATATAAGCTGGCAGCTGACGGTAGTCGACAGGAAACACAGGACACAGGTTGCGTGTCACTTGGCATTCATCAGCAAGGCGTTCTTGTAATCTTGAGGAAAATGACTGTCAATGGAGGATTTGACCTCGTGTTATCCAGTTTCACAGTTACAGATGTTAGCATTGAGATGTCCGGGTCGTAACTGATCTATTGTAGGACTGAGATGTAATTACAATTGATTGCATACTGGGATTGTATATCAATTCTTTTTTAGTGCAGATCAAATTCTGTCGATCAAGTTGTAATGTGGCCACTAGTCTAGGTGACTCGAAATCGTATGAACTATCTTGTTGTAGGTAGTTTGTACCTCTGAATACTCCTTTATACACACCATTTCAGCACTTTTTTTGAGAATCATCGTTTTAATATTTAGTCTTTCTCACTCCTATTTTTGTTACGTTTAATCTCGTTTTATTCATAAGGGATGGTAATTTGAGGTAACGCATATCTGAGTCAGTTTTACTATATGGGGCGGAAAATTGGTGAACTACGAAAGCCATCATCCAAAAGATACAAGTGTCCATGAACAATTGTCTACGCAAAATACTTCAGATCCGTTGGTCAGACACTATTAGCAACAACCTACTGTGGGACAGAACAAATCAGATCCTAGTGGAGGAAGAAATCAGGAAGAAGCGCTGAAAGTGGATAGGACAGACATAGAAGAAAGCACATAACTGCGTCACAAAGCAAGCCTTTACTTGGAATCCTCAAGGCCAAATGAGAAGAGAAAGACCAAAGAACACATTACACCGAGAAATTGAGACAGACATGAGAAGAATGAACAACAATTGGATAGAACTAGAAAGGAAGGCAGAGTGGGACAAAGTGAGTTGAAGAATGCTGGTCGGAGGCCTATGCTCTACTGGAAGTAACAGCCGTAAGTAAGTAAGTAAGTAAGTATATATAAGACAAACTGTAAGTTGATTATGGCAGACTAACATGAACCGCTCTCTTTCTCTCTAGAACATTATCAGATCAAAGAAGAATAGAGATGTATATAAGAAACAAAAGAAAGAAAGAAAGAAATGAAAAGTATTGTCCATTCTATATTACTTACTTGAACATAAGCTTTCATTGGATCTAATATTGATCGATTAATAAAATTATCAGTTAATAATTCCACTGATTGTTCACCATATTTATGACGATATAATTGTAATAATTCATTACATTTTTCATTTAATTTTTGACATGGATTTGAACGATAAATAAATGATTTACCAGCCATTGATTCAAATAACTATAAATGCATAGAGATAGATAGATAGAGATATAAAAAAGTAGTTCTTTTCATCTCTAAAAACTCTATTACATAATGCTTACTGAAAGTCAGGTTAATGTAGAATGAATAGTTGAGATCATGAGTCAATTGAAGCTAGATCTATTATGGAAAGCCAAGGAAGCACTGGATGGCCATTTCGTCCTATTGTGGGACTCCTCAGTGGCAGTGAGCATCCACGATCCCACTCGCAGGATTTGAACCCAGGGGGCTTTAGTCTCGTGTGTGATCGTGAATGCGCACTGCTGAGGAGTCCTACAATAGGACTGAACGGACATTTAGTGCTTCCAAGTTTTCAATGATGGTCTAACATCAATCGGTTCATGATCTCAATCAAAAACTTAATAATCTGAGCAGGTGGAAAAGATTTGTAGCTCAAGTGGATGATTTTGATGGAGTTTAGTTCTCTGAGCTGGATGGTTTAGTCAAACCAATGGGAGATACAGTCAAAATAAAGAAGTAAACAATGACAAGTTTAAGATTAACAAGAACCAATCAGCATCGAGGTGTACAAGAAAAGTTGTGAAATTCGAACACTTCACCTCTACCTGAAGTTTGTGTTGATGATGTTGTTTACAAGAAGGATGAAAACTCCACGACTAAATCATCCAGCTCAGAGAACAAAACTCCATCAAAAACTTAATAAACTCCAAAACCCTATACTGATAACATTTATATATTGTTAATATAATTTATTATGGGCAAAGTTTTGAGTATTTACTGTTATGATGACAAATTAAACAAGGGAAAATTTGATGAACTTTTAGGGTTTCATTAGTACTATATGTCTAAACTAAGTATTAATTAATGAATCAATGAACTGATCATAAGTAAGCAATACTTTGACGAAACATATAATCATGTATATGAGGACAGTCCATGGATGAATTCGAGGAAACCTTAAGAAGTTCAGAAAGAGCTGAAGATATCCCATCCCCGTCACCAATTGTTATAACTTGTCGTTTTGAATGCTAATTATCTTAACTCTTTTAATATCTGGTTGTCATCGTGTTTTTGCGGTTAATAAAGTATCACTTATACCAGTCTTTGTGTTCTTATTTTCGCGTTGTGGGAATTGCAGAGGTCCCTCGTTTCGAGTATAAGGTATAAGCATTCCAGCATAACAATCACCGACGATCAGATATAAAAAGTAGCATTCATAAGAGCCAAGATAATCAAAATTCAAAACGACAAGTTCTAACAATGTAATTACAGTTATTGTGGAAAATTATGTTTCATAACCAACGAGGCAATGAATCAATTTCTAAACAGTATAATTATGTGTGATAAACATTAAGACATCTTACGTGAGTCATAGATGCAGCAAGTAGATAAAAATTAAAAAAAAAAGCTTTCTTTATGCGTTTCAATATTCAACCGAACACCAATGACCTCTTTAAGGTTAATACCACTTCTAAGAAAAGCAACTCGTACACTTTCACTTTCTACTCTCATTAGCGCTCACTAATCCATGGAAGAGATATATCTATCTCATAATATATGTCAGTGTCACCACAAAACAGAATTATGTTCCCTGAAGGTGCCACAGGTATTCGGAGTTTGACAACGCTTTAACCAGTAACACCTTCTAATATGAAGCGTACCCAAAAGACAGAAGCGAGGAGGTTTTAAGATATATTTGATAGGCTATTAATATATCGAGGATCATCTGATCTAATCTGGTTAGCGATTGCAGGGGTTGTTGAGCACGACGTTCCCACTTGTGATCTGGTGCGGATGCATGACCGAGCGCCTTCAGCTGGGTGAGTTCATTAAAACTAATATGGTTAGCATCCAATGTCGAAAACTTACAGAGCTATTTATTTTGGGAATTTATTTACGGCTACACTCTCAATGGATTACAAGTAATTCAGTAAGTCAATATCTGAAAATTCGAATGTGGAAGAAGTTATTTTGTACCAGACATTTACGGTAAAAAACAAAAACAATGGAAGTTCAAAAGATAAATTTATGTTGAATTTTATTCCGTATGACATATCGTCCATCTAATATCGGTTTTAGATAATATCGACTAGTGGGATATTTAAATCGTTCACATTTCCAGGCACTGTTGGTGACATGGCTCAGAATTGATCACAATGGCGTCAGTGTATGACATATCGTCCATCTAATATCTGTTTTAGATAATATCGACTAGTGGGATATTTAAATCGTTCACATTTCCAGGCACTCTTGGTGACATGGCTTAGAATTGATCACAATGGCATCAGTGTATACACTCTTTGTCTTCTCTTAAAACAATACAAACACAACTTACTTGACCATGAAATGTAACACGATAATATGCGGCAAATAATCGATGTCCATAAGATTCAATTCGATTTATTGCTTCATAAGTTCGACCAATATGATGATAAATTTGAGCTAAATTCATATATTGACATTTAGATTCATATACTGGTAAAATTAAATTATACACAGGTTGTATACATTCATATAATCCAGCAGATTCTAAGGCTAATGCAGCTTCATTTAGATCGGTTAATAAATTCTCCTTAAAGAAAAGTGAACATTAAAAACAACATTTAAAAGAAAGAAAAAAAAAAGATAAATACCACATCTATTCTACAAATTTCAATGGTTAAGATCATGAATCAATTGAAGCTAGATGACCATGGAAAACCTGGAAGCACTGGACAGCCATTTCATCCTATTGTGGGACTCCTCACAGCAGTATGCATGATCTTAGCCATTAAAATTGTTATAATATTCACAAAACTCATCTGATATTCTACAAATATTAACGACATAATGATTATAGAAAGGTAATTCATACAAGATATAGATATAGTAACCAAGACTAATTGGAATTCATTAGAAACTGTCCAAAAAGAAAGAATAACACAATTCCCCTTACAAACTGAATTAAAATAATGGTAGATGAGAAAACAATCAACGTTTGGAACTGAAACGAGTAACGAGAGATACAATATACTCAGATAGTAACTTAGATAGGATATTTAAGATCAGTACTGGAGCTGATGGTGATTGTGAACTTTTAAATGTATTCTTGTATTAGGACATTCATATATGCATTGTAAAGATTAGAAATTAGGGCTAATCAACGACCGTTCAGTGCTTCCAGGTTATTCATAGTGGTCTAGCTTCAATGGATCTCAACCATTAAAAATTAACTTATTTATTATTTGTTTATTTGAACACAAATATTGGTACAAGAGGACACCAAATATATATGCACCACACCATATTTGTGTGTGTGTGATACTGCCCGGGTGCCCAGACCGAAGCAGATGGTTTTCTTAGGCGGCCACACACCGAGCCTTTGATCTAAAGGTTTAACCCACAAGGCAGTGGAACATTGTGAGGAGATGCAGTCACATGGTAGTCGGTGGCCGAAAATTGGTTCACACGCCATTTGTTCCCGCAGGATACTGGAGCCAACTCATGTGCACCATTGATTTGGGATCCGGTTGAAGCACCGGACATTCGCTTTTCGTCTTCTCATTTTCGCAAACAACAACCCCTCCACGAGAAGGCAGTGAGTAGGACTTCCCTGGCAGAGGCTGTATTGTAGTGAAGAAGAACACGGGTGAGGACAGCCAAATTGTATTTAGGGCAAATTACAGAATTACTTGGTAAAATAGAAGAACCATATAGTAAATCGTTAATTTGCAAAATATCATTCTATCATATCCATTGTCTCGCATTTCATTGTTCATGCGATTTCTTACAAATTCCATTGTTTTCTCGCTCTTCTTTTCTTGATCTTCTCCATCTGCTGCCAGACATTGCGTTCTTTTGACTCACGTTATATACTACTTATATCAATATAAGTAGCATGCACCACACTCGTCCCCCCTTTTAACAAGTTGCTGTCGTAGTCTTTCTGATCTCCGTACCGCTGTGTTCTTTGGTGCTTTTCGTGGTTCACACCCATGATGATCTTGAAACCATCTCTGTAGTTGACTAGCATTTACGCGCTTCTGCTTGTCTTCTCTCCGGATCGTGTAGACCGAGCCGCGTCTCTCCGTGATAACATACGGTCCTTCCCATTTTGGAGCCAGCTTCCCCGACCCTGCTCCCCCTGCTATGTTACTTTTTCGTTCTCTACACTTTACTAGGTCCCCCACTGCAAAGGGTTTCCACGTTCTCCTCTGTTGTTCTGCCTTCTTTGTGTCTGATATTTGTTTCTTTTCCACGTTCCTTATTGCCTCTCTCCTCTCTTTTCTTAACCTTGTTGTCGTCCACTTCTGTTGTTGTGGCCAGGTCTTATTATGCATTGGAAGTCGTGGTTGTCTGCCATACATGAGCAAGAAAGGTGACTTCTTGGTTGTTCCTTGTGTGGAGGAACGATGTGCCAGCAAAATCAATGGTAACTCTTTCTCCCAATTTCCTCCTTTTGATGCTAACCATTCCTTTAACGTCCGATTGTTTCTCTCGGTAAGCCCGTTTGTCTGAGGATGATACGGTGTAGTTCGTATTCTCTTGATGCCAAACTGCTTTAAACGGGCTTTAAACTCGTCACTTTCAAAACAGGGACCCTGGTCAGTTAATATCATCTTCGGTATTCCGTGACACGCTACAATATGCCGGATTACCACCTCGGTCACTGTCCTTGCCCGCTGGTCTGCAATGGGTACGGCATCTACCCAACGTGTAGCATGTTCCGTCATCACTAACAGGTACTGGTTACCGCTCGCCGTCTGTGGAAACGGTCCCATCACATCCACCGACCATAGATCACCGACTGCGGTTACTGGGATTGACTGTAATGGCGGTTGTGTGTATCGATCGCTTTTCATTAGCTGACACTGCTGGCAGGTTAACACGTATTCAGCCACATCTTCTCTCATGTTCGGCCAGTATGCACTTTGTCGTAGTAAGTCCGTCGTTCTTGCGATGCCGGTATGTGCTACCTGGTGACACTCGTGTATCACTTTACGCCGCCAGTCTTTCGGGATCACCGCCACCCAATTCTCATCATCGTCCTGCCAGGTCAGCACTCCATATGAGTTCACTCTCAGTCGGTCCTTTTGCCGAAGCAGCGTTATTACCTCCTTGTCCATTGTTCGTTTATCTACGTCTGCTCCCTCTTTTATCACTCTGATTACCTCTCGAAGGTTAGGGTCAGCTTTCTGCTGCCGGACGAGTTCTAATGGGTCTCCCTCTAAACTATTCACCGCGTATGCTGTTAATGGCAGGTCGGCTTCCATGTCTGGTCTTGACAAGTAATCTGCCATTACGTTTTCTTTTCCTGGAACATGGCCGATACTGAAATCGTATTCTTGCAGGCGTATCATCCATCGCGCCAACTTCCCTCGGGGGTCTCTTGCTGTTTTCAACCACTGCAGGGGTTTATGGTCGGTCTCAATGTGAAATCGTCTACCTAAAAGGTATGGTCTCCATTTTTCCACTGCCCACACGATCGCTAAACACTCCTTTTCGATGGTTGAATACTTCTGTTCAGCAGGTGTGAGGACGCGACTCGCGTATTCCACCACTCTATCAGCCTGACTCAACACAGCACCTATACCATGATCACTCGCGTCTGTGGCCACTGTAAACAGTCTTCCCGGTTCAGGCAGTCTGAGCGTCATCTGGCGATCGTCTAGCATGTTTTTGATTCGGTTGAACGTTTGTTCGGCAGTCTCAGTCCACGTAAACTTGGTGCTGCTCAATAACTTATATAAGGGTGCTGCTATTTCGTTGAAATTCTTGATAAACCGACTGTAGAACGCCGCTCTTCCCAGGAACTGTCTCAACTTCCTTTTCGAATTAGGTACTGCAATATTTTTTATGGTCAGAATTTTCTCCGGCAATGGTTTTATTTCTCCATTTCCCACTTTATGTCCCAACAATGTGACGCTACTTCTCGCTATCTGCGACTTGTCCTTATTAATCCGAAGTCCAAATTCGTCAATTCGCTTTAAGACCGCTTCCACATGCTTGATGTGATCTGTTTCTGTTTGACTGTACACAACTACATCGTCGCCATATACCTCGACATTATCTAGATTCTTGAGCAGTAGTGTCATTAATCTTCTGAACGTGAACGGTGCACCCGCCAACCCGAACGGCATTCGTTTAAATTGATACTGTTTATCCCGTACAGTAAACGCTGTCTTGCTCCGATCACTCTCTTTTATAGGCAGTTGCCAATAACCTGACCGTAAATCCAGCACTGTAAACACCGTGGCATTCTGTAGCCGATCTAATGTTTCCACCACTGTTGGCATTGCGCAAGGCTTCAGGTCTGTTATATTATTCAATTCTCTGAAGTCGACACAAAATCTATACTTTCCATTTGGTTTCTTTACCAAGAGTACCGGCGAGCTATATGGGCTGTCCGCTTCCTCAATTATACCTTCTTTTAACATTTCCTGGACCTGACGATTTACCTCGGCTTCTAAATGCACCGGGACACGACGTGTTGCAAATATATTTACTCGACTGTTCTTTATCGGTATTTCGTGCTTTACTCTGTCACAAAATCCATACGGCTCCCCATCTCCAGTGAATAGTTTGGCATACTTTTTGCATAACTCGTGAGTGTTTGGTTTCTTTGACGAGCCATCCGCCGCAACTCTTATTTCAGCCACTTCGCTACTTTCGTGTATTGTCAATGAACCATATTTCGTGACCACCTTACCGCTTCTTAAGTCAACTATCGCTTTTACTTCTCTTAGGAAATCTGCTCCTAATATCGGTCTCGATAAGCTTGTGGTTACGACGAACGGAAAATTTATCTCCGCATCCCCCACTTTTACGATACTGTTAGATACGCCAAACACCTCTAACATATGGCCCCCTATCGTGTGGACAGCTAATGTACACGGCTTGATTCTCTTACATTGCTCTTTGCCTATTAACGATACTGCTGCACCTGTATCGACCAGACAAACTAAATCTCGCTCATTTATGTTCACTCTCGTATATACTGCCCCTCTGTCTACTAACGCAACAATCCCCAGATTCCTAGGATAGAAAGAACACTCGTTGTAACGTCTAACATATCTGCGTCTTCGTCTTGTTGGACAGTTTATCTTCCAATGTCCTGTCCCTCCACAAGCGTAACATTTATCGTTCCTTTTATTGTTCACTCGTATTGCTGCAATCTCGCGCTCCAGCTCCTCAATCTTCTTATCGACATTACTCATCTCCTGCTTTCCGCACCCGACCGGAGCTACTGTTCGCGTCATCAGCTGACGAGTCACCTTCGCCAGTTCACTGATATCCATCGGTTGCGCTGCGTTCACCAGTTTCAGCTGTTGGGAGACGGTGGCAGGCACACTCTCGATAAACTGTGACGCCAACAACTGTGCCTCCGACTCCTCATCCAGACTCGGCAGCGCACGGCGCAACAACCTGGTAAGCTCCACAGCCAGCACCAGTGGGTCCCCATCGACCGGCAACCTCGCCAACCGGAACTTCTGCAGCGCGTCCTCTCTGTCCACTGGGCTGTCGAACTCCGCCGCCAACCGCTCCGTGACTGCCTCCCATGTGGTCTTCCCGCCAGCACCGTCCAGGCTGTCATACACAGCCTTCGCCCTGCCTCTCAGCAGCGTCCCGAGCACCACCAACTTCGCCTTCGGCTCCTTCACTCCCACCAGCTCCGCCACGGCCTCAAACTCCTTCAGGAAGCTCAGCACATCTCCGTCCTCAAACTCCTTCGGCCATGGAATCTTCATCCTTAGTGGAGGCAGCGACACCAAATGTAGTGAAGAAGAACACGGGTGAGGACAGCCAAATTGTATTTAGGGCAAATTACAGAATTACTTGGTAAAATAGAAGAACCATATAGTAAATCGTTAATTTGCAAAATATCATTCTATCATATCCATTGTCTCGCATTTCATTGTTCATGCGATTTCTTACAAATTCCATTGTTTTCTCGCTCTTCTTTTCTTGATCTTCTCCATCTGCTGCCAGACATTGCGTTCTTTTGACTCACGTTATATACTACTTATATCAATATAAGTAGCATGCACCACAGTATAAGCGTGGCCGTATGAGAGCATTTCGAGAGGGAGAGTGGGCCCACCCCACTCTCGGAAATACCAGGGCATTTGGGGGCTCTGTTATTCAGTTTTGCAAAGGAAACATATTAGCAAAGTACACCTATTAGAGACTAGTAAATGACCAAGAGTAGTGTTATTGGATTTTACTTGTCTAATAGAGTTAATTATGAATCTAAATAATGTCAGAATGTCATGAGCAATAGTTAATCTAGCAAAAATAAGCATTGACCAAAGTTTCAACACCACATGAGCGAAGTATGATGAAGTTAGTAAGATAAATATTAATGTAAGAGTATTATCAGCGATGACCAAATTAGCGGTATTAAAATATAAAATAACATGAAACTCAGCGTCTAAGAGAAGAAAAAGAATAGTTACACCTGGGCTATAACGACAGATTCTAAAACCTTTCAATCAACATCAACAACTAGTTACGACATGCAAGAACACCTAACTAGGTATTCTGTACTCACCTATACAGCTCAGTTCAACAAAGATAAACTGATGCCACATTTTGATTTAGCTGCCCCCTTAAGTTTCTTCGAACCTACTTCTGCTCCTATGTCAGTTACCAAGAGTTGTCGAAAGCTGTAGTTAATTAGGCTTACATAATAAATGCCTTGACCACCTCCACGGATAAAAATTCACAACCTTATCGATCGATTTGTCATCTGCAGCTAGTAGTACACTTCGTTTAACTTTGCTGTAGCTCACTTGGTAGTTATAACATACGCAAGCAATGTTTTGAAAGTATGTATGACCGAATACTCATAACTTACAAATATTCTCTGTGTTAAAAAGCCTCCCCCTGTAACACTTTCTGATGTTCTAGTCTAAAGAATTTTGGAACGTAAGAATTCGTGTAAATGATCGACCATGGAAAAAACAAAAAAAGATGAACGCAATAATACGTACGTAGATCATTCACCTTACTCACTAAAACTTTAGTTATTTGCTCTTTGTTAAAAAAACGACACACAAAGAAAATTCACCTAATTATCAATATAGTATATGGCTTATTTACTAACTAACGGCATGTTAAACCTCCTAGAAAAGAACATAGACCGCCCAAGTATGATTGTTCATCGAATTCTATTCTAGGCAATCCTTTTCAGTAGTATATAACAGATAGTATAAATAAATTTACAATGATTATATGAACACTTTACTGTATTTACTAAATGATAAATAAACGTATATCTTTTCAATAGTTAAGATCATGAGTCAATTGAAGCTAGAGCATTATGAAAAACCTGGAAGAACTGGACGACCGTTTCGTCCTTTTGTACGACTCTTCAACAGTGCGCATCCACGACCCCACCTCACGAGATTCAAAGTTGAAATTAGACATTAACACCGTTAGATACCAATTCAGTGGTCTAATAGTTAAACGCTCACGCGCAAGATCGATAGGTCCTGAGTTCAAATCTACTGAGAAGTCTGGCAATAGAATGAAATGGTCATCTAATACTTTCAGGTTTTCCATAGTGATCTAACTTCAATTGATTTATGATGTGAACTATTGAAATAACCTATAATATCCATACAAAAAAATAAACACAATCTCTTTTCTGATATATTTACTTGTGTATAAGAAATTTCTAATACTGTAGAATCTGTTTTTAATCCATTTTCTTCTATGTAAATATTAGATGAAATTGTTTTAAATGCATTACATCCTTGAGGAAATTCACCTAAAACAAAATAGAGAAAAACAACAATAAAAAAACTGGGGGGGGAGGTTCATTATTTTCATAAGTATAGAAATGAATATATGAATCAGTATTTAACTACAAACATTCTATCACTAAGAGATTGCATTCTGATATATATATCAGGATTGATAACGTTATAAGCAAGCATTTATATATTAGTCATTATGCATGTATTAAACTTGAGAGTTTGATGTAGAGATGGAAAATCGAATCAAGAGAGGGTGTTACTGTTGCATTGGCATTTGTCAGCTGGACATACGTGCATAGTATATTTATTATTATTTATTTTAACACATAGATATTGGTACAAAGAGGCACAAAATACATATGCGCCACACAAATCTCATTCGATATGTGTGAGGGCTGTGATACTGCTCGGGTGCCCAAACCGAAGGGGCCACTCCCCGAGCCTTCGACCTGAAGGTCTGATCCACAAGGTAGTGGAGCATCGTAAGGAGATGCAGTCCCATGGAAGCCGGTGACCAACGATTGGTTCATACGCCATTTGTTCTTGCAGGATACTGGAGCCAACTCATGTGCACCATTGGTTTGGAATCCGGTTAAAGCGCTGAACATTCGCTTTTCGTCTTCTCATTTTCGTAAACAACACACCCGCTAAGAGAAGGCAGTGAGTAGGACTTACCTGTCAGAGGCTATATACGCGTAACCATGTGAGAGCATTTCAAGAGGAAGAGCGGACTCTCCCTACTCTCGGCCGTACCAGGGCATTTGGGGGCCCATACGTGCATAGACTGATCAGCTGTAGTGTAATACACATACATGAAAAGATCTAAACAACGAAAATATATTATTTATAATTGAGTATTGTCTGTCAAATGTCAAATGACTAGTATAAACTAAGAACACAGTATTGGTTATTCACATGGTGTTGTGATACTTGTATCTTCCTTTTATTATTTAGGATTGCAATCGATCAGTCTTATGTTGGTATATGTGCATCTTGTGCGGACTGCCTCGATAGTGATTTAAATTACAAACATCTTCAAGCAATGATAGATAGTAACTAGCAATGGAATCCAGTTTGACACGCGTTTTATCCTATTTTGGGACTCGTCAGTTGAATGTTAGTTATTCTATGATTGGAAATAGAGTACCGAAACATTTTAGGGTAATATGAGTTAATACATTCTACTTTAAGAAAATCTGTAAAAAAAAAGTGTTCATTATTTAGTTACTATTAAAAATTCATTTAATAAACATCTCAAATGCACATTAACCGATTAGTTAACCAAATAGTTAAAGGATTCCTCTATACACGATGAATATTAGAAGATGAGTGTGCATTGAAAGAAAGTAATACATGCATCATAATCAAATGGTATCCATAAAACATTCAATGAATTCGATGTAAATCAAAGGTTCCAATTTAGATACATATGAATCAATCGCAAACAAACGAAATTCACACAAAGGAAAATGGAAGAAAAGGATTTGATTAGGTAATAATATGAATTTGCCTCTAAATGCTTTGGTACAGTCAAGAGTAAAAAGAATTCGCTATCCCTCTCGAAACGCCATCACATGGCCATATATACACAGCCACTACCATAGAAGTCCTATTCACTGCCTAATCATGAAAGGGATATTGTTTACGAAATTAAAAGAACGAAATGTGAATGGCCGACGCAGAAACCGGGTTGCCTCTTAAATGGCCACATGTATATAACAACTGTCAGGGAATTCCTATTCATTGCCTTCTCGATGTGGAGGTGTTGTTTACGAAATTAACAATAGGAAAACTGAATGTCCGGTGCTTTTACCAGGTCGTTGATTTAAGAGCATCCACCTAGGATAGTTGGAAAATCCTGATTCTAAACAAATGGTTTAGGATCCTAAGAAAACAAATGGTGTATCAACTTGTTTTTAGTCCCAGCTACTATGAGACTGTATCTCCTAACGTTGTTCCATTTCCTTGTGGATTAGACCTGTAGGTTAATTGCTTCGGGAAGTGACTGTCGAAGGGAACCACCTACATGGGTTTGGGTGTCCAGCAGGTAATATACCAGCTCTTACACAATTCGAATGATAAAGTCTGGCGCAATATATCTATGGTACCTCCTTGTACCAATGTTTACATGTTTAAATCAATAAAGATATGCATATACATAGATAAGATGTTTAAAATGATACATATATTTATACTACATAATTTTCATTGTAGTTTAATCTAGACAAGATGATAATTCACTAATTCAACTAAAAGGATCCAATCTGATCCAATATTTTTTTTGTTTGTTTCAAGGAAATATGATCAAATATCAAAAATGATCGAATATTACATAGTTCTCCAGTTAACTGTATACTAAAATAGATCAATTCACTTATGTGAACACATGTCTAAAGTAAGTATTGCTGTAGTGTGTTTAATGAATGATCATAGTGCTTAATTTAAAGAAATTGGAACAAAGGTACATCTGACCAAGTTACTATATCATATCCATATAGATAGATGAAATGATTAATAACTATAGTAACAGTATAAGTAGAACTAGAAAACATTAAGTATAGACAACATAATTTAAGAAGAATGAGTGATTGTTTTCAGATAGAGGTTTTGTGAAGATTTTAGTAATTAAATAGTTGAATTCATGAGTCTGTTCAGCGTTCGTCTACAAGACTGACAGGCTCTAGATTCAAATCCTATGAGCGAGATCATGGATGAGCACTATTGAGAGAGTCCCATACTAAGACGAAACGACCGTCCACTGCTTCCAAGATTTTCATGGTTGTCTATCTTTAGTGGACACATGAATTCATCCATTAAAAGAATGAATGAATTTGATAAATGAAATATATAAAACAATTTTAAAAATAGAAGGTTTAATGGGATAAGAGTAGTGAATGGATCTACCTCATTGTGATCATCCAATACAATAATCTTTTAGATCTATTATCAAACAGTTTACACCAACTGATATATCTCAAACGGACAACTAACAAAAATTCATCGACGTCAGATTTGAGCGACCCTAGCTTTCTTTAAATCTTCTCAAGTTACCATCATGTATTGAAGTAAGTAGTGGTTGAATATACATGATACATGTCTTAGTAACTTCCTCCATCAATGAAGATTCATAACTTTATCTTATACAAATGAGTACAGACCAAGATAATGGAATAATGACTAGTTGATCATTTGAATTAAAACTCTTCCACATATAAAACAACATTCATTCTTCTATACACATATTGATATCACTTCCTAATATAGTGAAAACATAAATTCGATGGACAAGAAAAGTATTTTCTTTTTTCTAAAGTCTTTTATCTTTTTCTTTGATTATTTCTTTTTTAGTAATTGGAATAGTTGACATCGTGAGTCAATTGAAGCTAGACCATCATGGAAAACTCGGAAGCACTGGACGACCGTTTCGTCCTAGTATAAGACTCCCTCAGTAGTGCGCATTCACAATACCGCCCCCCCCCGCGACATTCGAACCCAGGACCTATCAGTCTCGCGTGCGAGCGCTTAACCATTAAACTACTCTGAGCCGGCATCCAACAGTGTTTTTGTTTACATACAAGTTAAAATTTGAGAGTATGACATTTATTTAAATAAACAATCAATTGGGGACATTTTTTTTGTTTCTGGCTTGATTTTGTCATTATATTTAACAATAGAACACTATGATCTCTAACCATCATTTAATCCTTTCATTTACATTTCAATCTATATGTAATACAAATATACATAGATTATGTAATCACATATGTAAACATACATAAACATTCCATTAGAATCCCTCTCTCTCTCTCTCTCTCTGTCAATATCAAGGAGATCGTATCACCCCCCCCCGGTACCTATCACATCGGACATACCCTCTGAATCGATAAACAAACATACTTCTTATGAGATGGTCAACGTACAAAAGAAAATATGCATCTAGTGTACATGTAAACAGAAGAGATACATGCTCGTGTGTGTATGTATGTATGTGTCTGTAATTGAGTATAAGTCAGTAAATGAGTAGTCTGGTAATATAAGTAGTGCATCTATGCAAATAAATAATCATGTAATAGAGGTGTGCGTATGTACATACAAATACACATACACACACAAAGAAACAAACAAATGTACAAACTAATTTTGCACCAAGTTTAAATATTCAAACAAAACTAACTTACAATCTAAAATACCTAAATGAAAAAGTAAATATGATTACATTATATTAGACAAAGTTTATTCTTCTTCTTTCTCTCGTTTACAATCAATAAATTCAACCCAATAAACATTTGACAAAACAAAATAAAACAAACAAACAAACAAAAACAAAAAATCTAAGAATTTGCGCGACCATCTTTCTTTGTACCGAAGTAGACACCTGTTTCTACCAGACACGGATTAGCTCCACTGATCATGGCTTCTCATTAGAACTCCGAGAATTTTCTCACGAAGCTAGTTACTAGTGAACACATGGTAATTATCAGTTTAGGGGTTGTGGTGATTGTTAAGTTTTTGATTAAGATCATGAACCATTGGATGCTGATCCAGTGGTTCAGAAGGTTAAGTGTTCGCGCGCGAGAGAGCGGGATTGTGGATGCGCATTGCTGAGGAGTCCCACGATATGACGAAACGGTCGTCCAGTGCTTCCAGGTTCTCCATGGTGGTCTAACACCAATCGGTTCATGATCTCAATCAAAAATTTAATAATCTCCACAACTGATAAAGCCAAAAAAAGAGAGAACTTTTTTTCTTTCAAATTTCCTAGTTGATACTTATTGTTTATTGAAATAGAATTGTTCTTTGTCTCACTATGCACAATATGTTAACATATATATGTGAATGGTGTTGTATGACTGAAATATTGAACATTTTAATCAATATATTGGATATCTTGATTACACTATAATGACATAATATCGATCAGTAAATTCAATTATGAAAATATTACAATTACTAAAAATCACCCCCCCCTTGGTGATTAGATTCAAGATGAATTCCTTGCAGTCCTAATGAGAAATTATGACCAATGAAGTTCAATTGATATTGGATATGAGAAAGTTATCCATTTCAGATCATGTATAAACGGTTGCACAAGATCATAAATAGATTAAAGTTAGACATTAACATCATTGAATGCTATATATTCACGTGTGAAATCGAATGTCCTGAGCTCGAGTTCCATGTGTGGGGTCGTGGATGTGAACTGTTGAGAAATTTCAAGGTTATTCAGTGATAACAATCAATTTTCATTCAATAAAGAACTGAAGATATTGATTGAGATCATGAGTCGATTGATGTTAGACCACCATTGAAAACCTGGAAGTATTAGACAGTTGTTCTGTCCTATTGTGGGACTCCTCAGTAGTGTGCATACGCAATTCCGCTAATGAGATTTGAACCCACGGGATTCAGTCTTACGCGCGAACGCTCAACCTAGTAGACCACTGATTCGGCCAATATCCAACGGTGTTAATGTCTAACTTCAAACAAACCACCAAATTTCGCGACCATCTTCCATTGTACTGAAATAGATATCTGTCTCTACTCGACACATACTTCCAGGTGGTCTAACATCAATCAGTTCATAATGTCAATCAATAACTTAATAATCTCCACGACCCCTATACTGATAAGAATTGAAGAAATAATAGTAGTAACGCATTAAGCAAACAATGTACACATCAAATGAGAATTGTAAAGATCAAAAGGGGAAACGAAAATTTACCAGATCAAATTGTTTCATATCTATGAATAGAAATTAAAAATAAATCGAATTATTTGAAAACTACTCTAAGAATTCATTCATTGACTTAGTTATTATCTTTTAATTGATACAATTGGAATGTTGAAAGGAAATAGAAAAGAGAAAGGTTAAAGAATACATTGAGTTGAGAATTGGAAGTAGATATCAAAAGGATTGGCCAGTATAGAGTATGATGGAGAATGTTAGTTGGTGAGTGGTCTACGCTCCTCCACGAGGAGTAACAGGAGTAAGTAAGTAAGTAAGTAAGTAAGTAAGTAAGTAAGTAAGTAAGATAAACTGAGTTGGAACGATTATTTTGAAGGTCAACGCATAGATACTGTTGTGGATGCGGAGGAATAGACCAATAATTATCATGTTAAGTCCAATGGTGTCCTTGGACTTTAAATGAACATTTCCTATTGGTCGATATCTGTTCACTTGTTGAATATTGTACAAAATGTTGTTTTCTATTTTTATGGTACGATGTGATCTGCTTGATTGGTATATAAACAAAGTATGTTTGAAATATAATGATTCATATCTCCGAGGCTGTGACTTGTGTTCTGGACTCAACTGACTGGGCTAGATAGGGAAGTGGGATCAATCGAGACTCTAGGCCGTCCGTATGTGTTTACGTGTCACTGTGATCGATCGATAACACAAGGTAAAAATCGACAGCAACTTTAAATTCATAACAGATACATCTATATATTTTGGTAAAAATGTATATAAAAATGTATAAGTAAATTACCTTTACATTTTAAATATTCAGCCATTAATGCAGCAATATGTAATTTAGTCATAGCTAATTCTGTGAAACTTCTTGAATTCATATGTAATTTGACTAATTCTTCTAACCATGTACTATAATCATTAAAAAAAAATAATAATAATAATAAATGTTAATTAGAATAGGAAATGCTCAAAAAAGGGGAAATGTTCAATAGAGAAAAGAAAAGCCATTTACGTTGACGATTTGAGCATTCTTATTTCGATTTGATCGCATGGGCAATATCCCAGTCTTTGCACAAATCGAATAAAAAGTCATTTTAAAAGATATTCGTTGGCGATTTGAGCATCCTTCCTTCGATTTGAGCACATGGGCAATATCCCAGTCCTTGCACAAATAGAATAAAAAGTCATTTAAAAGTTATACGATGATGGTTTATTGTTAAATTATTTCCTCATTCATTCAGTTGATGAATCTTCTATATTAGTGTAAATCTCATTAATGAATTCAAGTCAAGCATGAGAAATTATCTGCAACTGTCTTCCATGAACTATGTCGATGTAGCCCAGCCTGATATTATGAATAAAAAATACAAATGTAGTCAAAGAGATCGAATGAAATCTCTAATAAAAATTATACTCACCTATTGAATGAGTGAAAAGTGACAGATGTGTTCTGTACAACAAATTAACTAAACAAATAGTTTCAGCCATGATAACATATTCATTATTGTCTAAGCCCCAAAATGCCCTAGTACGACCGAGAGTGTGGAGAGTTAGCTCTCCCTCTTCAAATACCCTCACATGGTCACGCCTATACAGCTACTACCACACAAGTCCTACTCACTGCCTTCTTGCCACTAGGGTGTTTTTTACGAAATTGAGAGGGTGAAAAGCGGATGTCCGGCGGTTTAACCAGGTTAGAAGATACTGAAGCTCCACCTAGAGGATTTGGAAAACCCTGATTCCAAAACAACGGTGCCCATGGATTGGTTCCATGATCTTCAGGAGATAAATGGCGTATGAACAAATCGTTGGTCACCGGCTTCCATGGGACTGCATCTCCTTACGATGCTCCACTGCCTTGTGGATCAGACCTTCAGGTCGAAGGCTCGGGGTGTGGCCCCTTAAGAAAACCACTAGCTTCTATTTGGGCACCCGTGCAGTATTTCGGCACCCACAAAAATCATTCGATTTTTGTGGTGCATATCTGTTTGGTGCCTCCTTGTACCAATGTTTATGTTTTTAAATAAATAAATAAATAAATAAAGGGCTTATTCAGTTGAATCAATCGTATTTGTAGTAGTGGTACTATTGAAGTAGAGACGAAGCTCTTGACTGATACGTTAATGAATAATGGTTATTCATTGAAGTTCATAAACCGCTGGAAGAGTTGCAGTACGGCTAGACTTATGACACTTTTGGCACCCAAAAAGTGAGTTTACATTACGTTACCATTTAGAGGCGACAAAAATAGTCTCATGTTGAAACGGAGGCTATCAACCGAACATTTTATGCAGCCTAACTTGTCATTATCGAAAAGACAAGGTTTATGATTTCACCAAAAGCCCAAACAGCACGAAATCGATTATGTCACATCCCATTATGTCTATCAAGTTACATATATGTATGGTAACACGTACATAGGGATGAGCAATTGTAATTTGCAATTAAAGATGACTACAGAAACAAATGGATTCCAATGATCAAATAAAATCACAGAATAGACAGATATCATCTTTCATTGCGAAACATTTGATTGACATCAAATCAGCATTTGTAGTGTTATACAAAAGCTTTCAAGGACGTATATACTAAAGTTTATTGAAGCCTTGACTATACGGAAACTAAAACCCCCTTTATGTATTTAAAAAACAATTTGTCCTTACACTTAACCAACCTTAATAATACTGATTTCTAAATAAGCAGTAGTCAATACCCTGTAATCATTTAAAATCCAATCCAATGTGTATTACCATGTCGAATCACTCACCTTATTAGCTATAAAGTGATCATTCTCTTTATTTAATTAAGCCATATAATAACGGTAATTTTCACTTTTTGTTTTGGTATCCAATCATCTTGTATCTATGTCTTACTTATTATTTATTTATTTATTTAAACACATAGATATTGGTACAAGGAGGCACCAAATACATATGCACCACACAAATCTCATTCGATATGTGTGAGGGCTGTGATACTGCTCGGGTGCACAGACCGAAGCAGTTGGTTTTCTAAGGGGGTCACTCCCCCAAGCCTTCGGCCTGAAGGTCTGATCCACAAGGCGGTGGAGCATCGTAAGGAGATGCAGTCCCATGGAAGCCGGTGACCAACAGTTGGTTCATACACCATTTGTTCTTGCAGGATACTGGAGCCAACTCATGTGCACCATTGGTTTGGAATCTGGTTGAAGCACCGGACATTCGCTTTTCGTCCTCTGATTTTTGTAAACAACACTCTTGGTGCGAGAAGTTAGTTTGTAAGACTTCCCAGTCAGACGCTATATACACGTGGCCATGTGAGAGCATTTCGAGAGGGAGAGCGGACTCTCCCCACTCTTGGCCGTACCAGGGCATTTAGGGGCTAAACCTTCTTTGAATTGTATAACATTTAAGAAAAAAAACTTATTTCTAAATATAGATTCAATTGAAATCTAACCAATATCCAATTCGTTAAGGAAATGTCATACGATAAGTAATACACAATCAATTACAATCATTACCAACCATCCTGAAGTTAATTGATTCAACTTCTAATGATATTTTGTGATGTAACATTAGTCGACTACTATCATGTCTGATTCCATATTGATTTTAATGGATAGTGATTATTACATATATATATATATATATATATATATATATATATATATATATATATTGTTTATGTATTACAATACATTGTTACCTAGACTGTAAACTAAACCATCATGGGAAAGTATATGAAAATGTCAAGAATTCCTAGTTTTAAGACCAATAATATTAAAATATTTGTGTAGTGCTAACAAATCAGCCTTAGAATAGATTGAACGGTTTCTTTGATAAAAAAAGTGTCAGAGATCATTTAAACTTCAGAATAATATCTCGATGAAACACTTTATCGATTGATCCCAAATGCCTTGGTACGACTGATGGTGGAGAGAATCAGCTCTCTTTCTCTCTATAAATACTATCACATGGTAACGAGTATACAGCCACTCCTACAGAAGTCCTATTTAATGCCTTCTCATAGCATTACTGAGGAGATTTAGAAAACTCCAATTCCAAACCAATGGCGCACATGGGTTGGCTACAAAATGCTGAAGGAACAAATGCTGTATGAACCAATTGTTGGTCACCGGCTACCGTGGGACTGAATCTCCTGACGTTGTTCCACTGCCTTGTGGATTAGACCTCTGAGTCAAAGGATCCGGGTGTGGTCCCTTAAGAAAACCACCTGATTCAGTTTGAGCACTCCTGTAGAATCACAGCCCAAACACAAATCAAATGACTAGCGTGTAGTATATGTATTCGATACCCGTTTTTAACAACATTTATGTGTTCAAATAAATTAATCAATATTATCAGAAGGGGTTTTGTGGAGATTTTTAGTAATTTTAATAGTTGAAATTATGAGTCAATTGAAGCTAGGTCATCATGGAAAACCTGGAAGTGTTGGATGACCGTTTCATCCTGGTAAGGGACTCCTCAGCGGGACGAAGTTAACATTAGTTTATCATTATTATAATTTAAAACATGATGTGTGGTGTTGTCTATTTAGTTTTTAGAAAGATAATGAATTCGAACTCTCATAAGGCAAAAGCATAGTCCATAATCTAACAAATTACAACAAAACTCTATTTAACTATGATTAGTTGATAATTAAACTGTAAATTTATTTGATAATTTCTTTGATTATTGGTTTCTATAGATATAGTCCCATAGATTTTTTCAATGGTTAAAATCATGAGTCAGTTAAAGCTAGACCACCACGGAAAATCTGGAAGCAATGGATGGTCGTTTCGTCCCATTGCGGGACTCCTCAGCAGTGTGCATGCACGACCTCAGACCATGCGAGATTCGAACCCTGGACCTACTGGTTTCGCGCGCGAGCACTTAATCACTAGACCACTGAGCCAGCACTCAACGGTGTTAATGTCTAACTTCATAGATTGTTGAAAGTTTAAAAGTTGTGTAGAAAGTTAGTATAGCGAGTGTTGAAAATGTGTTAAAAAATGTTATCCAATAATAAAGTCATTACTTATTGGGATTTTGAAGGCTTTAAATTAAGGGTTTATTTGTGAAATAATCAGAATTGATGATTTTAGTTTTAAGAAACTGTTATGTCCCGATAAGAATAATGAATGGTAACATTTGGGATCCATTTACGAACCAATACTAAACGTATATTTCTATTGCATAATTATTAAGTAACTAAACTATTCATATTCATATTCCTCTTATTATAAGCTTTATTTTGACCCATAAACTATTATTATACGTTTTACCATTCTTGAGTTATACCCAGTATATTAATTACTATCTCCCTCATTCACAGCCACATCTGGCTAATTCTTGTAGAAATGTTGTTTCATATTTTATTGGTACGTCGTGGTCTATTTGATTGGTATATAAACCCCGGTATGTTTGAAATATAACGATTCATATCGCAGAGGCTAAGATTGGTGTTCTGGACTTAACTGGCTGGGCTAGGCGGAAAGCAGGACCAATTAGAACTCTAGACTGCTCACATGTGTTTACGCGTCTTTGATCCGATCGATAAGTCACTGCTCACTAATTGGCGGTCACAAGATATAACAGAAACATAACTACAGCCAATACAATATAAAGCTTCAATGTATTATGCACTCATTCAAAGTTGTATACTTTAATAATTCAAACATTGATTCATGTTGACTTTGTTGAAACAACAGAAGTATGGAGGGGGGAGAGTAGTAGTAGCAACAAAAGAATGTTTTTTTTTTATTTTGAAAGTGAAATTGAATGTACTTTCATGACATTGAATCATCATTTCAAAGTGCATACAAAATGTTGTCTATTAAGATAAATGCAGATAGTTTAGTTAATAAATGATTTTACAAAGTGCATACTATAGTTGAACTGATGTACTCTGTTGATATACCAAAATTGTTACATTCAACCATGTTTCTCTGTATACATATGCATAAAATGCATACATAGACATGTAAACATAATTTAGAATAAACAACGGTACAAAGAGGCACCAAATATATATCTATTGCGTCACATTTCATTATTCGATTTGTGTAGCGGCTGGAATACTGCCTGGATGCTCAAACCGAAGCACGTAGTTTTCTTCGAGAGCCACTTCTTGAACCTTTAACCTACAGGTCTAATCCATAAGGAAGTGGAACAACATTAAGAGATACAGTCATATAGTAGCCAGTGATCAACAATTGGTTCATATACCATTTGTTCCTTCAGGATCCTGGAGCCCATGTAAACCATTTGTTTGGAATCACAGTTTTCCAAATCCCCTAGGTAGACCCTTAGGAATGCTATGAGAAGGCATTAAGTAGGACTTCTGTGGCAGTGGCTGTATACGTATGGTCATGTGATAGCATTTACAGAGGGAGAACTGACTCTCTCCACCGTCGACCGTACAAGGTCATTTGGGACCAGTCGACAAGGTGTTTCATCGAGATATTATTCTGAAGTCAAAATGAACTTCAACACTTTTTATCAAAGAAATCGTTCAATTTGTTCTGAGGCTGACTTGTTAGCGCTACACAACCAAAATGCCTAGCTCAATGAAGTTTCGAATTATTTTATGTGAAACAATTATTATAGAAACGATTAATATTTTAGTGTTGTTAGTCTTAAAACTAATAATTCTTGATAACAGGTTGATAAATCATTTGTTTTCCTAAGATCCTAGAGCCCATGTGAACCATTGGTTCTGAATAAGGATTTTCCAACTATCCTACGTGGGTACTCTTAAACGAACGATCCCGTTAAAGCACCGGACATTCACTTTTCGTGTTTTCAATTTTGTAAACAATACCCCCACCTCTAGAAGGCAATGGGTAGGAATTCCAAGACAGTAATTGTATACGATTACAATTCTCCAGTTGTCTCAGTATATTTACCATACTGTTTTTTGTTAGAGCTACTCTTTTGATTGACTTAATATATCGAAAACTCCACCTGGAACCCCTCTGGGGCTATTGCCAAGCCCAGATAAAGGAGGAGGGTTAGGTATAGGGGTTAGCGACCTCATCCCGTAGAAAACTAACTCGCTAAAGAAACGCTAACCAGAAAAATAATAATATATAGAAAGCTACTTTTATGAAGAATCGATGTCGCCAAGAGAACAGCATGATAACAGTCACTAGAAGAAGAGGTTATCTATTACACTGCAAAAAATCTAATGAAAATGGTAAGATTTCGCGCCGAATACTATATCTTCAAATTCATATCTCCAACCACACTCATGACCTCATATAGCACAAATGGCATGATCGTTAACAATCTTAAGGAAGAGGTTTTGATGTATCTTTACATCGTACATGTTTCCAATTTCCTCCCAATTCCAAGTATTATTTAAACAATAACTTCTAATTTTTACTCCGAAATACTGAATACTTTTCAAAGATGATTATTGAACAGTTATATATTTTTTTCAATAGTTGAGATCATGAGTCAACTGAAGCTAGACCACCATGGAAAACCTGGAAGCACTGGATGGCTGTTTCGTTCTATTGTAGCAGTGCGCATCCACGATACCGCTCCGCGAGATTCGAACCCAGGACCTATCGGTCCTGAAACTTTTCACTTCCGTTACTTAAACACACTAAAACCATATTATTTGACGCATGGCTCAAACAATCAAGTAACATGGTATAATCGTCTGTTGGATTTCTACAGCAGTTGAGTGTAAATAATGATACAGAGTTTTATACCCAAAACTGATCTATCTAATAAATACCCAATTTTTATGGAGGTATTAACCATGAATTTTTTGAAGAAGGAGACAGTGAGTATTGACTACTATGTGAAGATTCCCAAGCTTTCAAGTGATGGCGTACATTATACATTCACAAAGTTGCATAATACCGATAGACAGTGTATTTGTGTATTTCGCAGAGGATTCGAGAAAAAAACAACTTTATAAATAAAATGAAAAGAAACTTACCGTCTTAATGCTGGATTACTACTGTACGATTTAGCTAGTGCATACTGTAAGTCAACTATACGCTCAGGGTCATCACAATGTCGACGCATTTCAGCAGTAGCAGTTAATACAGTTAATATACGATGAATTAAATCGTCAATATCATCTAAGAATAAACGAATATTTGAATCAGTCCAAAAAAACTTCCCAGATGCATTTGATGATGACGACGATGTTGTTGTTACTGTTGTAGTTAATGACTTTGTCGAAGTTGATTCTGAAATTCTTTGCATATCAGTTTGTGCTAAACTATGCAAAAGACTTAAACTTGCTTCAAAACCGGGACTTAGTTCACTAACAAGTTTTGATATAGCAATAATTGTCTATCAATAAAGAAAAAGAGAGGTAGAGCGAAGAAAGATTACAAGTAACTACTCTGTTGTCAACATAATCAAATATTCCATACTAATGAATTGTTGTGAACATATAAACTAAGATTCATTGACAATCCATCATATTTGCATCATAGTCAAATTTCATTTTAATAAAATTAAACTAAAATAGGTTAAGGATCGATGGACGATTCTTTGATGATGTAAGAGTAGTTTGAAAGAAAGTTAAAGATGATCAAAGAAAGATATGACATTAGTCCATAAGCTCACTGATTAATCTATGTTGGTTGATACAAACTATTTCTTTTCGGGTTTGTATGATTATCATGACCTAGGATTGGATACGTTGAGCGACATTATTCAGAATCGATCACAGTAAAGTTAGATGTATTCGCTCATTTTATTCCTTCACTTCTTCTATTTTTAAAATTATTTTACATTACATTATTCTTAATCTCTTCTCGACAACTCTTTTGCATACTCCTTTATACTACTTATTTAAATTCAGTAAATAGTTCTGTTCACAGCAATTTTGTTGTAACGCAGGCTTATCGTGTCATATACTGAAATATTTACATAGACTTATAACGTTTATTGTATTAATCATTATAAATACTTTATCTTAATCACTGTAACACTTATCTGCAGTTTTGTGTATTTTTTTAAACGCAACAGTTTCTATAGTGTTTTACTCTTGGTACAGGTTTCGCATGTTGATAAACTGGTATCAAGTTTAGACACAGCTTTGTTTGCACTATCGAAGCCCTTTTTGTTTCATTTAAAAGAACGCATTAAGCGGCACAGACACCTCACAAGCTGAGATACTCTATTGTAGACAAATCGTTGTTTTGTGAACTTCGGTTTTGCGCGTAACTCCGTTGAGTGACTTGGACGCTTCGGTAGACCTAACATTACATTTTATTCAAGAAACTCATGTATTCTTCCTGAATCATGTTGTCTATGCCTTATATGTTTTTCAGTTCTATTGATACTGTTACTATAGTAGCCCAATGAAGACAATGGTGGATGTGTCCCTCAGTCTCGTGGATTAGTTGAAGTTAGACATTAATATCGTTGGATGCCGGGAAGTTCAGTGGTCTAATGATTAAGCGCTCACGCGCGAAACTGATAGACCATGGGTTCGAATCTGCCGAGAAAGGATTGTGGATGAGCACTGCTGAGGAGTCCTAAATTAGGACGAAACGGCCATCCATTGCTTCCAGATTTTCCATGGTAGTCTAGCTTCGATTGACTAATGATCTCAACCACTGAAACAAATTTATATATCGTATAATGTTATATTCACTTACCTGTAAATGTACACGATGAAATCCAACTTGTTGATGTGTTTCAAAACTACACTTCCATAAACGATATAAGAAACCGCATGCATCTAGACAAAGTCTACTTATCAATGCTTGATTATTCATATTACTATTATCATAATCATTACTATGATTAAAATGGCTAGTATTTGATATAATCTGATTTGTATCATTAATTTCAATATTTTTCAATCTAGATAGTATTGGAGGTTTATACTTAATAGATGCTGTTGTGTCAGACGACGTTGTATTAATATTATTAGTTAGAAATGATATTTGAGAATTTTTATCCGATAGAGTATTAGTATTGGAATCAGTCGAGTTGGAGACAGGGCATGCGGTTGTTGTTGTTGTTCGTGGTGGTGGTGGCGGTGGTGGTGGTATTGATGAAACTGATAATGATGGAGAAGAGATAACCGATGATAATGAAAGAAAACATTGATTAGAACATCTTAAACCAGCTAAACAAAGCATACTTAGAATATCGGTTGATTCAGAGAAGAGAGTCTAAAATTTAAATTCAAAAGAAGAAAAGAAAAGCCATAAAATATTATAGAAATAAGTAATTTGGACGAAACTATAATTTATGGACGAACCGATCATGTATAGGGTGAAGTTTAGATTCATTTGGTAATATCTAACTTGTATCTTCCTATTGTTATTTAGAACTGCAATTGATCCTGCGCAGATTGCCTCGATATAGTTTTAAGTAGTCATAAGCTTTTTAAACAAAGATGGATAGTGGCTACCAATGGAATCCAGTTTGAAGCGCATTTCGTCCTATTTTGGGACTCTTCAATTGGATGTATTTGCAACATGACATTGATCAATTACAGTCTGAATTAACAATAGGAAGATACATGTAATCTAAATGTATCAATTACAACCAATAGTAAGCATAGATAATAATTAAAATACATTAATTACCTGTGAATTTTGATTAATAAATACACGTAATGCAGAAAATGTATGACGTATTACATAATCAGATGGATTATTAGATAATATACATATATACGTTTCAATTATTGAACAAAATACTGGATCATTTGGTTTACATAGATTCAATTCTGACTAGAAATAAAATTACCAAAAAAAAAAGTAGAAAACTATTTTAGAGAGAGAAAAAACATTGATGAGAAAAGTGAAAATTAGAAAAATGAATCGTTTGTGAACCAAATATGAGATATAGAGGTGAACTCATCGTGATACTATCTAAATTAATCATTGACTGACTACTACTAGGCGAGACTCTAATTTATGGACGAGCCAATCAAAAGCGTTTTAACTATTTTAAGGTTACGGCGCCAATGTACGATCGGTTCACAGGGAATTTTGTACAAAACGTGATAATTGAGCGGCTATAACAAATAAAACGGCGAGACTATAATTTGTGGACGAATCAATCAGGTATGAAATAACAGATCTCGGTAATATAATATATACGGATGTTTGGAGAGCATACAGACTCCTACATAGGCTTGGTTATATGCATCGTGTTATTATCCACAAGTAGCATTTTGTGTACTCAACAGCTGGAGTACATACAAACAATATTGAAGCTATGTGGTCGAGGCTGAAGGAGTTTTTGAGACTTTATCATGGCTCCAGAGGTCGACAATTCTGTAACCATATGAATGATTTTCTCTTCTACATGCATCAGGATTTTAGAACCTCTGAACCTCTTTCTAACCTTGACAAGTTTTTGAACCACATATAGGAAGTGTATCCACTTTATTTCCTTGGTTTTGTATGACATACTTTTACTCTATACTGACTGTTTGCTGATTAGCCAATATTTCTCAAGGTCACTTAAGATTTGATCAAAGGTCGTCCATAAATTAGAGTCTCGCCAACTACTATTCAGTCCTTCATTTCGATATTTTATTGAAGACAAGTATAGTATAATTACGACTTTAGGCAAGTCATCATCATATTTGCAATCAGTTTTAATGATCAATCGTTGAAGGTATTCGACAGGAAACAAATCGGTATGATAAAAAATCTAAAAATTGTATTAAATCATATAGTTTATGCAGTAAATAGTGAAGGGTAACGGATAATTCATGTTTGATATAACTAAAGAATTTACATTTCAGGCAGTAAAATATCATTAAACAAAATGCTCCACTTGAAGCCTCTCTCTGGTGCTACCGTCGGTCTCAAGCTCGGATAAAGGAGGAGGGTTGGGTATGGAAAATATCTCACTAGAATAACGCTAACGACATTTGATGATAACAACTTAGCTACTGAAAGTTATTTAAGTAGCTCATATTATTCTGGATCAAAAGTATGAGTGATCTCAGTTTCGGTGTACAATGAACGTAAACAGTGAGTGTGAAAATTAAGTAACTGTTCTGTAAATATTTCATTCCATTGGGTTTATATTCGTATACTTATTAACGTTGACCAATGGAGTTCAATACGTTTTCTCTGTGAGACAACCGATGAAGGGTTGAGCAAGATCACAGACTGATTGAAGTTACACATTGACACCAATGGGTCCCGATGCATTAACCTAGAGGTTAAGCGTTCATACAAGAGACCAAATGTCCTGCGTCTGACTTCGACAATTGGGATCTTGGATATGCGCTGTTGACGAGTCACATACTAAGACGAAACGGCTGTTCAGTGCTTCCAGGTTTCTAATGGTAGTCTAGCTTAGATGGACTTGTGATTTCGACTGTGAAAATGTTTATTTATTTAAACCGAAATGTATCACTGAAAATGGTCCAAAAAAACTTACTTTAAAAACTGTTGTAAACGTACTCAACAAATCTAAGATGATCAAGCTTGATTCAGTTGCCAAATTCGCTTTTAATAAAACTTTCATTTCTATAACAAAAATAATATAAATGAGAAACTAGGTGTTAAATTCACTCACTATTATATCCCGATGAGAATAATGAAGGGTAAATTTTGGAGTCTATTTTTGGACTATTACTATACGTATATTTTTATCGTTAAATAACCAAATTATTCATATTCGTGTTCCTCTTATCATAAGCTTTATTTTGACATATGAACTGTTATTATACGATTTACCATTCTTGAGTTCTGCCCAATCTATCGATTACTGTCTCCCACATTCACAGACACATTTGGCTAGATCATGTACAAATGTTGTTTCCTATTTCATTGGTACGATGTAGTTTGTTTGATTGGTATATAAACCGAGTATGTTTGAAGTACATTATTTATTTCGAAGAGGCTGAGATTGGTGTTCTGGACTTAATACTTGGGCTAGGCAGGAAGCAGGATCGGTAAAGACTGTAGACTGCTCGTACAGATTTTATGCATCATTGGTGCGGTGGATAACTTACTGCTCTCTAATTGGCTGTACCATTACGTCATACATTGATAGAGGCACAAACCCGCAAGTTATAACAGATATATGGATTTTAGTTATGTTTTCTTGTTTATTGCTTATACAATATGGTAAAGTAATGTTACGATAAAGTGAAATTTTAAGACATAGTTGTAAAACCGTGTATTAAAACAAAAGTCATCCAATAAAAGAACTTACTTGGTATATTATCATGTCCTTCTTCAGGGGTTACTTCATTTTTAGTTAACAGATCACTTTGTAAATGTTTACTCTTTTTACGAGAAGCAGCATTACTAGCTAGTGCATTGCTCGTATGAAGGAGATGACCAGTACCACCAGTTCGTCCAACACTACTGTGACTTATGTGTCTAAATTAAACAAAAAATTAAGTTCAAATAAACAATTAGGTCGCAGATTTGAATTAACTGTACTTTAACTACTGATAACAAAATTAGTAGGCAAAACTCAAAGAATAAAATAAACAGTTGATACATATTTGATTTCACTTCATTCAGCACTCGTCAGTAGGGTGTCGGTATGTAATCTTATGCTCCCCGTTAGATTTGTCATCGTATCATCCAGTTTAATAGTCTAACACATTAGCAATAACCTATTTCAGCAGCAACTAACTTCTCGTAAGACGGAGATCTTGACAAATGATTAATAACTGAGTATTGATTAGTGTCATATTCATCAACCAGAGAAATTTCAAGCATCAAGATGTTATAAATACATAAGTCAGTAGATACCGTTACTCATCAGAAACACGACAGAAACGGTATATTCATTCTTCGTCTCAGGTTGGGTGGGATATGGCCGATCCGCATACGTTTGACTGATTTACATCTTACTCGATTCTCAGAATACAAAAAAGTAAGGCACTGTAAACTAAGATAACTTATATCTTGTTTGTTTTTTCCACGAAAAAGAGTATTTTGATTCCAGTTTTCAATTGAAGTAAAAAAACCGATTGTTAGGTCCATCGAAGCATCCAAGTCACTCAACTGAGTTACGCGCAAAACCGAAGTTCACAAAACAACGATTTGTCTACAATAGAGTATCTCAGCTTGTGAGGTGTCTGTGCCGCTTAATGCGTTCTTTTAAATGAAACAAAAAGGGCTTCGATAGTGCAAACAAAGCTGTGTCTAAACTTGATACCAGTTTATCAACATGCGAAACCTGTACCAAAAGTAAAACACTATAGAAACTGTTGCGTTTAAAAAAATACACAAAACTGTAGATAAGTGTTACAGTGATTAAGATAAAGTACTTATAATGATTAATACAATAAACGTTATAAGTCTATGTAAATATTTCAGTATATGACACGATAAGCCTGCGTTACAACAAAATTGCTGTGAACAGAACTATTTACTGAATTTAAATAAGTAGTATAAAGGAGTATGCAAAAGAGTGAAACCGAAGCGCGTAGGAACAATGTAAAACAAACTTAGCACCGATAGAAATATACAAACAAAAAGTTCTTATATAATCTTACTCATATTGTTGAATACAATGTTTACCACGATAACGTAGATGTTGAATAGAAAATCTATAAATAATAATATAAAACAATGAAATATAAAAAACATAGTTGAATTCATGACATGATTGAATGTAATGTAAATCGAGTGTTTTCTTATTTACCAATGTTTCAGTAGTTAATATCACATTAAAACAAAACTCATGGAAGAATCAAATTTAAACAGATCACATGGATGAGTTGTCCAATAACTATACAAATAGAGCCTTTAGAATTTTTGTGATACTTAATAACCGCATAAGATTTTGAGAGATACTTATGGAGATAAAAGATTGATGAAAGAAACTGAATTGATTAAGTAGATCAATAAATTCGAGAGAACTGAAAACCTCAACAACGATATTCAACCAAGACAATTGTCAACTTTTCATATATGCATCGGTCCAAGTTACCATACATCATTAGCACACAAAGATATAGTATAGAAATAAAGAATTAGTTCGCAGAAAGAGAAATATAAAGCGATTTTAATCTCATAGTTTAAGGGAAGATAGAGAGTGTATACACCTACACCATTGTGATCGATTCTGAGCCATGTCACCAAGTCTCCAACCATTGGTTACGATAGTCACGCGGATCTCAACCAAGTACTTTGCATCTACCAACATGGCTCAGACTAGAAGTTAGTGACGCCAATGACTTATAGCACTGACCAGTGCTTCTAGGTTTCCTTCTTATTATTATCGCGCCGAGAATACTCATTTTTGCCTTTAAATTGTATGTTCCACTTGGAAGGACCTGAAATGTTATTGATTTGTTACTTCTCTTCATACTCTATTTTGCGTTTACAATAGTTTGTGGAATATACATTTCCCTTCATCTGAACATAGTCTTCTCTTTCTAGTTAGCAAGTCAAAGACGCAATGAATAGCTTAAGTTATCTTGTTGTTATTATCTCAATGATCCTTCATTCCCTTCAACAATTTTAGATGATCCTATAATAATCTTTTCCAATCTAGCATAAACTATGAATATAAGATAAGTATACAACTATGACATTTTAAACGTTTGTATTTAGAAACGTCATCAAAAGAAAAAACCATCCGCGCGCATCATCAGAAACAAAGTCAAGTACAGAAATCAACAAAAGGATCAGCCTATCATACTATAAAAGGCATATCAGACAGTACAGTGAGACTGCTTAAAACTTTCGGAATACGTGTTGAACACAAACCAACAAATTCTCTACAATTAATTCTATGCAAATCAAAGGATGAAATGACAAATGAAGACAAATCAAACAACATCTACAAAATAAATTGTACCAACTGCGAAAAAGCATTACATTGAACAAAGCAGATGCCTTCTTCATCTTTGTCTGCATGAATATCAATTAATTGTCAAATGCCATGACATTTTCTCACTTATACCGATGCATGTGGAAAATTGTGGAGATTTTGGATAGAAACAATTCCAAAAACATCAGAGAAATTTTTTTTGAAAGCTTAGCACTCAGGGCAATCAACAAACACATTGAAATCAATTCAATTTATCAACCAAACATAAAAACGAAAGTTAAATCAATGGAATACAACCAAAACAAAGAAGTAAACAATGACATGTTTAAGGTTGACATGAATCAATCAACATCAAAGTGTACAAGATAAGCTGTGAACCAATAATGTGAAGAAATTCGAATACTTCATTTCTACTTATTATTTATTTATTTTAACACATAGATATTGATATAAGCGGGCATCGGATACATATGCGCCACACAAATCTCATTCGATATGTGTGAGGGCTGTGATACTGCTCGGGTGCCCAAATCGAAGCAAGTGGTTTTCTTAGGGGGCCACACCTCGAGCCTTCGACTAAAGGTCTAATCCACAAGGCAGTGGAGCAACGTAAGGATATGCAGTTCCATGGTAGCTAGTGACCAACGATTGGTTCATACACCATTTGTTCTTTCAGGATCCTGGAACCAATCTATGTGCACCAATGTTTTGGAATCAAGGTTTTCTAATTCCCCTAGGTGGACTCTCCATTTCCACCAACCCGATTAAAGCGTCGGAAATTCTCTTTTCGTCCTCTCGGTTTCGTAAACAACACCCCCGCCACGAGAAGGCAGTGAGTAAGTCTTCCCAGTCAGACGCCATATACACGTGGCCATATGAGAGCATTTCGAGAGGGAGAGCGGACTCTCCCCACTCTCGGCCGTACCAGTGTACTAAAATTTTATACTGATGATATCGTTCAGAAGAATGATGAAATCTCCACAACCAAATGTCATCCAGCTCTCAGAGAACAAAATTCCATCATCAAAAAAAACCAACAACAACATAAACCCATACAAAAACAAGATTTACAAAAGATGTAACTTACTTTAATATATTCAAAAAATGTAATCTTTCTTGTATAGTAAAACTATGAAATAAACATTTTAAATGTACTAATGTTATAGTAGACATAATATGTAATATACAAATATATAAATCACGTTGACAATTATCAGTTAAACGACGTGGTGCATCTATATTATTTAATTCATATGGACGACGATGAATATGTGGACGTATAATAGGTTGTTTAATTAATAATAATTCAGGAATAAATGTCTTTTGATGAAATGGTAAATGATTATGATAATGAGAATGTTGATGAACATTGTCGGAATTTCTATTTAGAGAGAAAAAAGAAAAAAGAAAGAAAAAAAGAAAGACAAATGATTACTCAACACAGAACTTAGTCTTTCTTTTTTTGGATGGAGTTTTGTTCTCTGAGTTGGATAGTTTGGTCTTCGGAAGAATGATGAAAGTTCCATGACCAAACACTATCCAGCTCAAAGATGTTAGATCCCTAAAACTCATTTAATAAATGCTTTAATTTTGTAATTTTATTTTGAAAATTTGAATTTCTTTGTTTTCGCGCCAAAAGCGCTCTTTTCATCTTCATGTTGTATTACCCACATGGGAGAATCTTAAACACTGTTGATTCGTTGTATCTTTTAGTATGCTATTTTGATCATAAGTCTTTGTTCCGTTCGCAGTGAACTCTTAACCACTTCAAACCTATCAAAATCATTCACCTAAGCTACAAATGGTCTCCCCCATCTCAGAACTACGTCTATAAATTGGATTATCTCGATTATGATACCTTCTATATTAAAGAGTTATCTTGCGAGATCTTGAATAAATTCAAAGAATATTATACAAAATCTCAGTATCGAAAAGCTCAGAATACCTGTGCCTCGACCCTTCGTAAATCTAGAAAGTTGTACGAAGAGAAAATTGTTAGGGAATCCATAGAATGTCCTAAACGCTTATATTCCTATACAAACCAAAGGACAAAAAGAAGAGGAAATATTCCTACACAATGGGGGGACAGTACTGCCTCATCATTAGTGGAGGACGACTCTCGTAAGGCTCAAGTGTTCTCGAATTACTTTAGCAATGTATATACTATAGAAGCACCCTTCCCGTCAGCGCATACAGATCCCACCACACAATCACTGGACAGCGTGACCATTAAAGAATTCGACGTCTTTGGTCTACTAAATAAGCTTGACATAGGTAAATCCACGGGGCCAGATGAATTGCATCCTAGGCTACTGAAGGAATTATCTAACTTCGTTGCGAACCCTTTAAATATATGCTTTAATCTATCCGTAACGCAGGGTCGTTTACCAAAAAACTGGAAGAACGCCATAGTAAGTCCTGTCTTCAAAACAGGTACGAAACATAAACCTGAGATTTACCGCCCCGTTAGCCTAACTAGTGTGGTTGTTAAAATATTAGAAAAGATTATTCGGAAGGAGCTGTTTGAGTATCTCGATAAAAACCGGATCCTCTCGGAGAAGCAGCATGGCTTCAGAATAGGTTATTCTTGTCTCACTAACTTATTAGTGGCTCGTGAAAGCTGGTGTGCTCTTAAGGACCAAAAGCTACCTGTAGACGTCGCCTTCATTGATTTCAGTTAAGCTTTTGATAAAGTTCCGCACAACCGGCTGTTATATAAGTTAAGACATGTCGGGATTGGAGGTAATTTATTGATGTGGATAAAATACTTCTTAGTTGGGCGTCGACAATGAGTACGAGTGGACTTAAAGTTATCTAGTTGAGAAACTGTGCTTAGTGGAGTGCCCCAGGGTACAGTTTTGGGGCCAGTGCTATTACTCTTGTATGTAAATGACCTTCCTCGTCTCCTATCATCTTCGGTCTTGCTATATGCTGTCGATGTCAAAATATGGAGAACGATACGATGTAAGGGTGATAGCTTAGAACTCCAAAATGACCTGAAGAAGTTATCTGAATGGTCTCAAACCTGGCAGTTGCTGATAAATACTTCCAAGTGTGTTGTAATGCATATCGGTCATCAAGGTACAGATACATAGACGATGAATAACACTGAGCTGCCTGTCGTCCAGACATATAATGACATAGGAGTCATCGTTAGCCAAGACTTAAAGACTACTGCACACTGCCGTGCATTAACCGCCAAAGGTTTTAGGACGTTATGGTCAATACGTAGGGCTTTTAGTCATGTCGACGCGAAGACGTTTTTGACTTTGTATACAGTGTTCGTAGGTCCTAAACTTGAGTACTGCATACAAGTGGCTATCCCCTGTTTAAAAAAAGACAGTGGGCTTTTGTAAAAAGTTCAGAAAACAGCAACTGAGCTGATTCCCGGAATAGCGAAGCTTCCATACGATGCTCGACTGGCCAAGCTTAACCTATTCCCGTTTTCATATCGTAGAACTAGAGGCGAATTGATTACAGTTTTCAAACTGTTTAGTGATAAATTTGCACCTGATATGCTCTCATTTTTCTTGTCTTCCAAAACAGAGGATTTACGAGGACACTCCAAAAAAGTTCACAAGCCCAGAACAAATTACTTGTCAGCTGACTATCGACTTTCCCATCGAACCATCAACGAGTGGAAGTCAATACCTCAACACGTGGTTGAGGCTCTATCCGTCGACTCTTTCGAAAAAAAATTGAAACAACTGAGAGACCACCACTGTCAGGACTAAAACAGGCCATCAAGCCTCCTGTCCTTTCCAAACTGAATATATTAGGTACACAAAAAAAACTACCCAATAATCTTGTAGAACTGGATAGACTTCAAATCAAATAGGCAATAATAGTTCACAGCAATTTCAACAATCGCCAAATCGATTTCAAAAATATCAAAATATTATAAAAAAGTTTTTCCAATTACAAGGAAAGGAGAGTTCGCTGAGTCGTTCCATATAATATTTAATCCTACTGCTCTCAATAGAAAAGAAGGCCTAATTATACATCCCAGTTGAACTATCTATCCAAGTTACCATGTCAGATATTACTCACATTTGTACACTATTATCGTACAAATAAATTAAACTCTATCCTTTCTCATTATAAACGTCACACATGTTTTTATCCCTGACCTTGCACACATGCACACACACACACACAAATTGATACACATGACATTTATGAATTACCTTGACCGAAATGACATGACATTGATTTATTCAGACCTGTTTTTTGATTGATCGAGTGTAATATTCTTACTTTGTTCCGTCGTACTATTTAGACTTGGATTAATTTCGATCTGCTTATTTATACGTTGAAGAAGTGGCTTACACTGAGTCACGAAACGCCAGAAAATTTAATTTTTCTAATCATTGGGATAGTACAAGTAAATTATCTACTCAATGGTTGAGATCATGAGTCAATTGAAGCAGGACTGATTTGTGTATGAGCTATGATACTGCCCGGGTACCCAGATCGAAACAGGTGATTTTCTTAGGGGGCCACACTCAGATCCTTCGACCTAAAGATCTGATCCATAAGGCAGTGGAGCAACGTCAGGAGTTACAGTCACATGGTAGTCAGTGACCAATAATTGGCTCATACTCTATTTGTTCCCTCAGGATACTGAATCCCATGTATACCATTGGTTTTGGATCAAGGTTTTCCAATTCTCCTAGGTGGACGAATCTCCATATCCACAAACTCGATTAAAGCGCCGGACATTCGCTTCAGTACAGTAAAATGAAATTACCAAGATGAATACAAAATATAAAGTTGAAATAGTAGGAGAACCTTATTTTTGAGCATAAAAATAAGGCTAAAAACTCGTATTTATATTAATATGCAGAATGGATAATAATAGTAATAATAATAATAATAATAATAATAATAATATTCAAATACTTACTCCATCTCTGAAACATTCATTTCTAATGGAATTCCAATAGAAGGGTTAGATATAACAGATTGTGGACTCACTGAACTCATTGATTTTACATCATTAATACGATCTGTATAAATACCAGCTAATGTAAGAACTTGTTTTGCCCAATCTTGGTTGTTATCTATAATTAATCATATTGAATAATAACACTATATATACATTTCATACAAGTCTGGAATTATTTACTTGAGAACTGAATATTCTATAACTGCTAAGATGGGATGGCTTAGTGATTACAGTATTCGATTTCCAAGCTGTTCTAACTACTTTGATCTAAGTATCTGGATAGTGTCGCTGGGCTTCATGCACAAATAAAGTGTGTCGGTCAATCAGTCAGCTACAACGTAGGACCAGGCACATATATGCATCGCTACAAGTTGCCATATATCATTAGCACACAATAACATGAACATCGGATTCATAGAAGTAGTTACTTCAACGGTAGTAATATATAAAAGAAAGATTGCATATAAGGAAATAGTACAGGAAGAGAGAATTAGTTGGTACAAAGAAATATATAAAGCGATTTTAATCACATAGTTTAAGGGAAGACAAATAGTGTATACACTGACGTCATTGTGATCGATTCCGAGTCATTTCACCAAGAGTCTCCAACCATTGGTTACGATAATCACACGGACCCCAACTGAGTAGTCTGTATCTACCATCCACATGGCTCAGATTAGAAGTTAGTAACTTTGTGGACTGATGCCACATTTTGGTTTGGCCGCCCCTAACTTAATTCCAGTCGTCTCCAACATTAGTCAGAATTGCGCGTCGTGGTAATCGGTGTTTAGGTATACGCAACACGTGGGCCAGCCATCTCAATCGATGAATATTTACAACCCCATCAACTGATTTACCATCATTCCCTAATACCCTGCGTCTAACCTCAATATTACTCACCCGGTGATCCCAGTAGATGCCAGCAATATTTCTAAGGCATCTGTGGTCAAATACTTGTAGCTTACGATTATCTTCAACTCTTAATGGCCACGTTTCGCAGCCGTAAAGTAAAACAGAACAAACTGCTGCACAGTATACTCTTCCATTAATTGGTAGATGGATATCTTGCCTCCGCCATAGGTGACGTAATTTGGCAAAAGTCAAACGAGCTTTTCGAATCCGTGCTGAGATTTCGTCAGACACCAACCCATTAGCGCTGATCAGACTTCCAAGATAAGGGATGTTGTCAACGCGTTCGACTACTTCACTCCCTATCCTTAGTTCAGGTGTTGATGCAGACCAGTCCTGAAGCAACAGCTTGCATTTAGAGGGAGAGAAGTGCATTCCAAACACAAATAAAGTATGACTCAAGGTTAAATATATGAATGTGTTACATGATGTTCAATTTCTTGTGGAGATTGTGTAATCTTGTAGTTTACATCAAGAACTGACCTTGGTTAGATA